TGTTCTTAGACCCTTAAGCTTGTTTGTCCAAGGTTGTTTTCTTAAGAATAGCTCTTGCTACGTAGATTGAAGTAATTGCTCCAAAACAAAGCAGACTTTTATCCTGAGAATACCTGCTTGATTAATTGTTGCAGATGAAATGCCTTGAACAGGGTCTCTGCTAATTTACCTTGTCCCCAGCATCTGTTTTCACTAGCCCAGTTATGTCTTTGCCTACCTTTTGTATTTAGATGATTATGTTTTTTTTTGTTCTAGTCTGTAATCTAGGTTTATGACAAGCTGTGTAAGTACTGGGGAGATGTAGAGTTCTTTACCTGTAACTGACTGAACATAAAAGGGCATTGTCACAAGAGCACTGTGTAAATTGTTAACCCCTAACTTTAGTGAGGAAAGAAGTTATATTTGGTAGCCCAGGAAAAGCAGTTTCCCCAGCCTGTTAGTCCTAGAAACTTCAGTGGGAATACAGGAAAGGAAGAAGCATTTGAAAAGATATAGACAGCAGACGTTTCCAGAGGGAGCTAGGAGAAAACCCAAGAAAACCACTTGGAGGAAATAGAAACAAAAAATACCAGGGACCTCAGTGCCTCAATGAATTGCTTTCCTGCCTTTTGACCCATTTTATGTAGCAACCAGCAAGAGAAAGAAGACTGCAGCTTAAAAAGTGCAGATGAATGGATTATCTCATATAGCACTGTATATCTCACATGCAAAACCAACTGTAAATATTTAGATGATCTAAAATCAAATGCTTATGAACAGATTTCTTTTTCTTGTACCATGTGCATTCTGTGGGGATGAGGGACAGTAGAAAGAACAAGTAGCTAACATCTTGATTATTTAGGCAAGAGATTGTTTCTTTGCTTAAAAGGGAGTAAAATGGAAGTTTATCTCTGATACTAATTTCTATTAATACACTTACGTATCACCTTGTCAGAGAAGAGCATATTTGAAATCAGTGAGAATACAGACTGTGTTCACTTTGAGACATTGCTCTACTAAGGTGAATAGAAATCAAATCTCCTGGGCTCAAAGGAGTTCTTCTCTTTTCTAAAGAAAAGTGCTGCCTCAGAAGGGAGAGGAGTAGGTGACACTGAGCTAGGAAGAACATCATATAAATTATTCAAAAGCTACCACACATGCCTAGCTCTTGGTATGTGCTGTTTCAAATAATCTCCTGTTTCATGTGACTACACATTTTCAGTATTTGGTTCATTTTTTTGTGAGTCCTGTCAATGTTTTCAAGCACCTTTAGTTAGCAGAAAATATTATCATCTTTGAAGGTCTCAGTAGTTAACATTACTCTGTGGACCTGTTTTGGAGCTTAGCTCTTTGGCTGCTTGTCTCTGTGACATATGAAAATAATGAGCAGAATCAATTTATGTCATTATTTTCTGGCTTCAGTGGAGTTAGACTAAAAGATGTTTTGGTTGGATGGGTTTTAGATAAGCATTCAGAATGGTTCCTTTGTTTGAATAGCCATAGAAGCTCAGCACAGTGGAACGATAATTTATTTAAATGATTTATTTAGCTAAGGTAATAACTTGCATGTTGGAGAGATCACAGCTGCTAAAATGCATTCTCCACTGTTTTGTGATACATACTTAGGCACAGAGGTACCACTAACACAGAGATATATTGCTGGTGTTCAGCTGTGCAGGAGAGGCTCTGGTTGTTGGTACACTTCTGGCTTTGTACTTGAGTCCCAGCACTGCCCATGAGTTGGGGTGCAGTAAACACCTCTTCCTTCAGCATGAAAATCTGAAGCAGAATAAAGCTTGATATGTATTTAAGTTCCTTCCCTGTGTGCTTTAACATGGCACTGTGGCCTTCAGGGTATCAAGAAAGCTGCTTATGAGGGCATGCACTGTCAGTGGCAGACAGCAGAGGAGTAGGGCAGATCCAGGGGGATCTGATTCATAAGGGTCCGTATTTTGCCCTAACTTACAACTGTGCATCTTCCATTGACTGAAATAGGCACTTCTTGCAGTGATGTCATTATGTGACTGCAGGTTTCAGGTGCAAAAAGTTCTGCATTCTTCTAAAGCTAAATATAATTTAAATGATGCATATAGAGGCACAAAATCAGCACAAGGAAGATGACTCAGTCCATAAGACAAAATCTGAGTTCCATGACTCTGAGGTTAAACAGATTTTCATCTTCTAGTAATTGGATAGAAAATTCCTGGTGCAAAATTCTGATTTTGTCATGTGCTACACAAGAATCCTTTTCTTATCCTTCACAGAAGGTTTATATTTCACTATTGTTTCCCCTCCTCTCCTCCCACAACATACTCAAAAGCCTGGAACAATACTTTGTCTCTGGTGTGATGATAAATATCCCATTTCTGAGAGCAGTGCTAAATCCTTTGGGGTACTGTTTTTCATGTTATGATATTCATCTGCCATCACTTTTCATAACATAGATGCATGGTTAGTGTATTTTCTTATTGGGTCTTTTTCTTTTAAAACCCCATACTCATCAGAATTTCAGCCTATGCTGGAAGTACACTTACAATCTTGAAGAGCTGGAGAGTGTAAAGCCCATATTTTGCACTTGAGGGAAGCATGCAGTACAGTACTAAGTTACTGGAAATTTAGGAATGTCTTTAAAGAGCTTTGTGTCCTCCTTTCCTTCTCTTCTCAGAGGATATTTAGATATCTACATTTTACATGGCTAAACTTTTGAAGAAGGTAGTTGCTATCATGCAAAGGCTCTGTGTTGTTTGACCAGCTCAAGCAGGGCTGGCTTCCATTTGGGCTGTAATCCTGAAGTAGCCACTGCACTGTGGTGGTAAATCCGCCTTCACCTCCCTTCACGAGCCTTTGTTTGTATGCTGACAAGGCTTGAAGTGGAAGGGGATCTGGCCAGCAAACACAATGCTGTCACTTAGAAATGGATGGGAATAGAAATAAGGATTAAATAGAAGACCAGGACTGAAAGCCTTCTTCTACATGGGAGGACCTTCGTCAACAATGGTGTAAGGGGAATGATATACTTTGTTGTGAAATAGAGAAAAGCCCCACAGCTGAGGAAGTAGATATTTATGAGTGGCTTTCTCTTAGATGATATGAAGTTATATGCATGGTGTCAGACAGAAAAGGGTCCAGGAAACCAAACTAAAATTAGCCCAAAGTGAAATCCTCAAGTGTTTCTGTTTACTGATCCATTCTTGTTCTGCCTAATTATTTGTTAATGGAAGAGGCTCTAAGGTTTTCTTTTTAATTACTTTCAGCTGTCCATAATTCAAAGTTTCAGAGGAATATATAATTAATCTGTAGTAAATAATAGATCAAAACAAGTTATATATTTATGTTCATAGTGCAAGTTAAACTAGTTGTAATCCCCAGTTGCAAAGTTTGGATCCCAAGTTCCTTGGGTTTTTGGCACACTTCCACCAGTGATTTCATGGATTTGTGGCCTATGTGCATGAAAACTGCAGACACTGTCTCATCTTTCTCGTAATTCCTCAAGTAACTGTTATGCACATTATCCCCTGGCTAATCCTTATGTATCTCTGATACTTGGATTCATAAGTCTTCAAGAAGTAGGCATACCTCACATTTGAGCTGTCCGAATGTACACTGGTGTTCTTTGTTATTCCACCAGCAGCAGCATCTTGTTGTGACCGCCACTGTGAAATGTTTTTGAAATTGCAGAAGAAAGATTACAACACTTGGAGGGTTTTTCCCCTTGAAAAAAAATAATTCTCTAATGCATTTTCAGATGGTGCTCCTTTTTTAACAGTCAGATGTATTGGAATGAAATGCAATGTCAATTTCAAAGGGAAAATCATGGAAATATTTGTATTAAAATAACTGAATTCTTATTACAGGTCTAATCATAACTTTCTGTTGAAAAACTTTACAAACACAACAAGTTATACAATATATATAAAAAAAAGTTTTGATCTGTTGGGGAATGGCTTAGTAGTGAGAACATCGAAACCTAATATATCTTTTCAGATCTGTTTTATGTCTGTAAACCTCAGTCTACTGTTGTAGAGGAAAATTTTCTAAAATCTTGTCTTAATCTCGCATAAGACCAGATATCAGAAAATGTATTTTCTTGATAATAAGAAAACTTTTCTTTACCCATTTCTCATATTTAAGTAGACAGCCTAAACTTTTAGGGGAAATATTTGATTCGTAGTATTTCTAGGACTTTTTTTTTCAAATACGTTTATATATTTTCTATATGAGGGAGTCTATTGCTAACAATTTCTCAGGCATTGAGAAAGTCAGAGGCATGACTTTTGAAGTCCTGCACTCCTGTGCATATCACTTACTCAAATATAAGCCAAAGTCAGTGAAAAAAATTTTTCCTCTAACCACTGCCAATTCAATAAAACCAGAGGTTTTCTTAGGGAATGCATAGTTTTTTGACTAATTTTCAGTGGCAGTTGTTCAAGTCTCATTACAACCAAGTTAAAAATATTCTTTTGACCTCAGCATTCTGATTACATTATGATAAAATGTTATTGTTAAAATTAAATGTTTTCGAAAGATTAAACAAAATGTTCTTGAATGCTTTATTTTGCAAATAAATCCTAATTTTTAAACTATTATTCTGAATTGAAACTAAATAAGGCATTAAAATTTGCATTTTCCTGCTAACAGAAACTTTGTTGTTCAGCCATCTCTCCTACTTAAGTAAACAGCCATGGTCTTTGGGGAAACTGAATTTTCCCCAAGTAATTAAAGCTCCAAAACCAGTGGTTTAGTCCATGAAACATTTGGGATGATGTGTCCAGTGAATTAATTCTGTTTACACCTCTAGCATTAGAGAAATAAATGCGAAAAATACCATAAAGGCTACACCTTTAGAAGGACACACCACTGCCATTTCAGAGACTTCTTCAGAGCTGTGTTTATGAAATGTGGGAGGCGTTGGATTATGCGTCAGATTCCCCAGTTATATATGATGGAAGCAATCCAGACTTTCCCCTCTCTTTTGGCATCTTGTGCTGTAACTTTTACTTGATTTTCACTTTTTATTCTAGTGCCAACAATATGCCTAAGCAAGTAGAAGTCCGGATGCATGAAAGTCATTTAAATCCAGTGGAGCACAGATCCGGGAACATATGTGTGCAGTTCTGCCAGTCACTCCACAGGAATCTGCTCCTGACTCTTACTGTGTTTGGTAAGCTACATCCTCTGGTCTGGACACTCTGTGTGTATCTGTATTTGTTCATGTAGCACCACAGCCCCTGCCTGTGGTCCTCAGCTGTTCCAGCAGAACGACACCCATGGGCATTGTCACTTTAATTCAGGTGTGCAGGGCGTTACTGACACAGCACGGAGCAAATCCACACCATGGAGAGACATTCAGTGTCTGGTTTTGAATGGAGCATGATTTAAGCCCCAAGGCCAGTCAGATCAAAATCATTCAGTAGAACTAAATGCACTACACTTTTTGCTCTCAGTGATTTAAAAAAAAAAAAAAAAACCAAAACCAAAAACTCTTCAAAATTTCCTTTCCTTCATCTTTTATTTCTCAGTTTACACTCCACTGCTTTTAAGTTTTGCCTTCCCTTTCTGTAACTCTAAGCCAACGCTCCATGATCTCATCCTGAATATTGCCTCTGGCTTTAGCAGCTTCCAAATACAGAACAGTTTGACATTTTATTGTGGTTCACTGGCTCTTTGCCTGTTCCTTTTTCACTGGAAGCCCAACAGCCAAATGCAGCAAATTTGTAGACATATTCTTATTGTGTTATTCTTTGAAAGACCAGCTGCAACTGGTCTTGAGCTACAAATGTCACGTCCATATTTTCAGGCTGCAAAACTCCGTACTGTTGAAGTGTTTGCTCAGAATCATCTTTAAAAGGTACCTCATGCTTTTCCAAAAACAGTTTTAAATACACATATAGTTTTCATTGTGTCAAACGGATACTTCAAAGAGTCACAGTTGTTGCAAATCATAACTCAGGCTTTGCTATCAAGTTTTATTACACTTGAGACTTGGGCTTGGGATCAGGAAAACAAAGGCATCCTGGATGTAAACATAAAATACCCATTCATAAAGACCATGCTATGGAAGTAAACATGGCCTTTTTTCCCCCTACACTCTGCTTTAACAGCCTCAATCCTGAGAGGAGGTTTAGGTGTTATCACTGTAGAAATCTACATAAGAGATGAATGAAGGGATTGTTTGTGATTTGAGAACATTAGCACAAAGACAAGGATGCAGACCATCCAAAGAACAGAGCAATATGTGAGTCCTAAGAATCAAGTTTTCTTCAATGATATGTGCAGTATTCCAGATCAGGCACTCTCTCCCAAAACCCCCCAAATGAAACTTGAATGTGTTTTCCTCACAGGACTATTCTACCTTACCTAAATCTGCAGGGTTTTTCTTAGGCTGTAGAACACCTAGTCATGATGACCCTGTCTTCAAGGGGTACCATTTCTATGCTGAGAGCTAAATGTTGTACTCCAAAGATTCTGACTCCTCTGTCAGTTCTGTATGGATTTATATAATTCTCTCCACCTCTTAGTGCCTCAATTTTATTAGCTGTAGACTGATGATATGAATTACATTTGACTATCCCTCCCTTCTGAGTCTGTGTTGTACCAAAGATCAGCTGCCTTGTGTAACCATTTCTCTCCTAGGCTGTTCTTCTGGATAATCAATGCACATTCAGCTATACTTAAGTTATGTACTTGCTCTTTTTCGGTATTATTTTTCCAGGTGTTATCCTGGGTGCAGTGTGTGGGGGTCTTCTTCGTCTAGCAACACCTATTGACCCCGACATCATCATGTTAATAGCCTTCCCAGGAGATATACTTATGCGGATGCTAAAAATGCTGATCCTCCCTTTAATTATCTCCAGTTTAATCACAGGTAAGATCTATTAGCCATAAATACTTTAAGATGCTTTCTGTAGATATCACCTGGTTTGCTTTTTGTGGTGTAGGAAGAACAGTGGTGTGATCCTGTCAGTACTTAGCAGGTGTGTGTTTTAGAATTAATTTCTGAATAACTTTATTGGCTTTAATATGTATATGCTCCAGTGAATTTATTTTCAAACACACGCACACATGCTACGTCAGAAATTTCTTAATATACTGTTTGATATAACTCCTGGATTGGACCTTGCAAATAAGATGGCATAACACTATTAAGCATAGCCTTCTTGAAGGTGGGATGTCAACCAGACCATGACCAGTTTGCAGCAATCAAGGGCAAAAAATGGTATGATATCTTCTCTATTTTTCAACGCCTGCAATGCCTGCAATTAGGTGGGATCTTTAATGATTCTCTAGAAATTATTAGCAGCAGACACTCTCACATAAGAACTAGAGGGAGAATCTGTCTAGTGGTGAGAATTTCACTAGAACAAAAGTAGGTACCTGAGACAGTCATTACACTTCGAAAATTATAAAGGTTTTTATTTTATAATTACTGAATTGGATATTGAGTGTCGATATATTTGTTTGTTTCTTAAAATAAAACACCTGCAGGACTGTCTGGTTTAGATGCTAAAGCAAGTGGCCGACTGGGCACAAGAGCCATGGTCTACTACATGTCCACCACTATTATTGCTGCTGTGCTGGGTGTGATTTTGGTTTTAGCCATCCATCCAGGGAATCCGAAACTCAAGAAACAGCTTGGTCAAGGGAAGAAGAATGATGAAGTATCTAGTCTGGATGCTTTCTTGGATTTGATCCGAAACTTGTTCCCTGAAAATCTAGTTCAAGCATGCTTTCAGCAGGTAAATCCTTCTTTGTTACTCCTTGGTAACATTCTTCACACCTTTTACTCACCAGGGTTGTCTGTAGAAGTAATGTAATTGTTTAGGTGAATCAGAGAAAGGATGATGCACAGAGAAATAAGGTCTGAAGTCCTGAGCAGGTAAATGAAAGATCATTATTTATAGCAGCTTTGGTTTTAGCTGTTATTTAAATTCATAGAGCTTTTTTTAAAGAAGATTATTTTTATTTTATTATTAAATAAACTTAACTTTTTTTATGTTCTTTTTATGCAATATCTGTGGTCATGAAAGCTGGCCTGGGACTGATCTTCGACCCAGGCTGAATTCGATCATCATTGTTAGTTACAGAGCTGATGGTTCTGCAGGAATACAGGGGTGATGTTCATTCCAACTGATTGCCAGCCCCAAAACACAACCTCTCTTAACCCCTATTGCTGTGTTAGAGTTCAGACTAGGTGGGTGTAACAGAGCCAAGTGGCTGACCCACCTACAGGTGGCTCCACTACACCAGTTTTGGAGCATGCTGGGAAAGAAGGGTGTTTGCCCCATGTGTTGCTTGCTCTGTAAGTAGATAATTAGATAACTTTGTCTGAAAGCATTTCAGCAATGCTTACTCAAAACAGCTTTCCTTTGAGAGGTAAAATAAATGAAAAATGTATGCTTCCTGAGTTCTGCTTAAGCATATTTCTTGTATGTAAGCTGCTTTTCTCCTGCAACTGAATTGTTTGGAAGTAATGCAGACAGGTTTTGGTTTCAGGGTTGTTTTAGTTTGTTGTTTTGTTCTTGGTGGTTTTTTGTTGCTGTAACAGGATTTGTTGCCAAACCTGTTTTTGAGTGTTCCTTTGTGAAATGGCATGGTTGCTAGTGCTGTGGTTATGGCCAAAGAATAAAGTGAAGAGAAGAGGGGGAAGGAAGAACAGGCCATGGGGGAGTGGAAAAATGGAGTGTAACCTAAGCTGCCAAAAGGGCTTGGATTGCTTCACTTCTTACATGGACTTCCACATAAAAACACATAATCCTTGGGGATTTAGAAAGAGAACATTCTCAATATTTCCAAATCATCATGGGAATGTCAGTCATGTGGTCAAACTGTTGGTGGCTAAACATCACATGTAATGTGAAATGTATTTCTGCAAAATTGAGTGAGGGAAAGCAGGATGCTTATGTTTTTTTCTTCCTTCCCTTGTTTGAAGAGAGGAGAATTAAATTTCTGGTCACTTGAAACTGATCAGATATCTCAACAGAGAGGCAAAAAGCAGTGGAAAGTAGCATTAACCTACCTGTGTCAGTTTTCTTAAAACCTTCATACTGTTTTTTCAGTGTGTGTAATTCCAATGTTCAGGTCACTTCACTAGTTATGGATCACCATTTCCCTGATTGTTTTTAAATGCAGTCCAAAAAACTTCTGAGATTTTTTGCTTTCCAAGGTTTGATTTTATCAGATTCCAAACTAATTGCTGGTGAAAACCTCTACCACAAAACCACATTTCTTTTGCAAACTAAGTCACACTCCTTTCTAGATGGAACCTGTCCTTCTCTTAGCCCTTTACTCCTCAGTGAGGAGTTAGGCTTTACTTGAATCTCTCTCTAGGAGGAAAATTAACTGCTTTTAATGGTGCTAGCATACATTTTCTCTTCCTACATTTATACAGTCTCTCTCTGTAAACATTCAGTGTTTCCAGGTGGCCTTAGGAGGAAGAAGTGTTTTGCAGTAATCCTGAGAAGAATGGTTCTGAAGGGTGCACAGCAGTGGTACTGTACACTGTGTGTGGGAGTTTAATGTGCCTTCCACTGTGACCAGACAGAAAGTGATGAGAGATTCACGTGCAGTTTTGAAAGAGTTCATTTACAAACTGGACTCTGAATCATCGTTGGATTTCAATCTCTCCTGAATTTTAGTATGGTCCTCTAGAAAGTTTTAATTTATAACGAAAATTGCTATTCCAGCAGAGATAAGGTTTTATGTGCCATGAAAAACCATGGAACTATCATCTATAAATATGACTATGACATTGTAATGGTGTTTCTAGCCTTGGACATTGTTGTCAGAATCTAAGCTTTATATTAGATTCAGCATTTTTAGTGACTGTGGCCTTGTGCGAAGAAGTGCTGAAGACCTTGTTTTAAGTTTAATTTCCATGACCCAGTTCTTACATTCTGAATACCTCACAGAAAAAAATATTGTTGACAACACCCATCAGATGAACTCTGAAACAAATATAAACATGCAAGAATGCTGGGTTGTTTAAGGACAATCGAAGCATTTTTCTCATGCAAAGCTATGTAGGCTTTCTGTCTATATCCTCCTCTCCAGGATTAAACGGCAGGTTTTGAAAGGAGGGATATAAGGTATTTTAAAACCAGAAGATTTTAACTATATGGATTGAATCTGGATCATCATCTGTAGTACTACAATGTTCATCTCAGGAAAGAGGTGCAAGTGTTCTTTCAAAGGCTAATGCACTGTTTCTCTTGCCTTGCTCAAACATGTTTCTAGGAACAAGAAAAGTAGGGAGCAGGTGGGAAAACATGGCAAGGCAGTCACAGCATCCAAACCATTTTGCCTGTCCCAGAGCCATGAAGAGGCAGAAAATGGTCAAGATGAGAAGTGGGAGGAAAACATCCCTTCTAGAAGCAGCAAGTCACAGCTCTCTCTCTCTCCACTCCCTCCTCCCTTTTTTTCCTAGCCATAAACTCAAGCCTGTTTCTCCCCCTGGCATTCCTTCCCAGCTTTCCCTTTGACCCTGCCTTTCATGTGCCAGGAGGGTCTAAATCCATTCAGATGCTGATGTCCTCTTTTTATGAGGTGGTCAGACTTCTATCTGGGAGCACTGATAATTTTTCTGTTATCTGTCACTCACAATATATTAATTAGAGAGCTTGGGGGACTGTATATTCCATTTTGAGCTCTTGGACTGCAAGAGCTCAATAGCTGTAAGTGCTGGAAATGTCCTAAATTTTATTTTAGGTTGTGATAATTTGAGCTGGCCAGACCATCCTGAATAACAAGGCTTACTGTAGAGTTGCTGCCATGACTGATCTTAGAGGCTCTTGCCTTTGGTGCTGAACAAATGGTATCAACATATAACATGCAATCTGTGAAGCACCCTATGTGAACCATCTGGACAAAGGAAATAACTGTCTTTAAAATGTTACACTGTAGTGGTAAGGAATGAGTATTTACCATGCTTTTCACACAAGAGTCATGAAGAAGACCCCCAGGACTTTGTAACACCTGTAACTATTGAAAAATAAACTTATTTTTGGAAGAGGGATAAGATACTGTGGAATGCCGTGTCTAATCCTTTAAAATTATAGTTTCCTGGAATTTCAAATGAAGGCTGTTTTTATTATTATTTCCTTATTTATCATATGGATTGCATTCAATCTATTTCCATTCTCATCCTCCCTCTTTATTGCCTTCAGATCCAAACTGTCACCAAGAGAGTGCTGGTGCCACCACCCATTGAAGAGCCACCTAACGTCACTGATTCTGCTTTGGCTATGGTGAATGAGACAGCACCACCTGAAGCCCAGATGGTCATTAAGAAGGGACTTGAATTTAAGGATGGCATGAATGTCCTGGGTAGGAAAGTTCTTTGCCTGTCAAATATGTGCCTTATATGTATGACACAGTTTTTTTGCTGTGACTGAGTAGTCGGTGTTGTCTGTCTGCTCTTCAGTGCAAGTTTATTCTCTCCAAATAATCATCAAGTGTTACCACCTACTGGCTGCCCATTGGTCTCTGAGATGAGTATATCACAGAAACAATCAAGTGAATTGTTCTGGATTGGCAGCTTTGCTGTTATGAATTGGAGTATGGTAGCAAAGCATGTAGGAGGTACCCAAAATACCCTTTCATCCTAGAAGAACCCGATCTAGACTAATACTAAAGCATATTGGCAAAACAGTATGAGGGAGAGCTTCAAGAGCCAGTGCTTCACCCACCTGCTGATGAATTTGAGCTAAGTTGTTTCCAGTAGGTGTCTTGGGCATGCTGGAATAACTTGGCTTGAGGCAGAGCCTGAAGTGAGAGGTGGGGTATGAACCACACCACCCAAGAAAAATCCCAGAAAGGCTTGACACATCTCTGAGTCACAACTCCCTCCTCCTTTCTTCTTGGCTGCTGACCTTTACCAGCTGCAAATGCCATCATGCCATCTTGTCTGAACAAGCCAGCAAGTGGGGGTGGTAGGGAGACTTTGCCTATCTCCCACCCTTTCCTGAAACAACTGTTCAGACTGGGGCAGGAGCACATGGGAAACAAATAGCTGGCACACCACTTCTATTTTCTCCTCTGTGCCTAGAGTCACTGTTTTGTCAGCCCAGAGAGGAGAGCTACTCCTTCAACTATTTATTTTCTGGATGTGGGTGAAGTCAGTCACAAATTAGCTCTCAATTTGTAGCCTCATTGGCACACCTACTCTTGAAGCTACTCTGTGACAGCATGTCCACAGGGCTGAGGTCAAACACCTGTGTACTGTGCTCAAAGTCAGAGAGTATGTGGCAGTACTTAATCTACTGCTTTCTCTCACCACTAGACCATAACCTTTTAAGGGCAAATGGCCCCTTACAGATACCTTAGAGCTGATGAACAGCTCCTGCTGACAGTGGTGGATGGGCCTGCAGAGAGCTTCTTTAGGTGTTGATGAGTTGGTTGGCAGTGGCTGCTTTGCTTAGGCATAGGGGAGGTGGTAGTATCAATCAGCTGATCTTGTTCTTCTGTGAGGCAGCCTGCTCCACAAGAACTGTGTCCTGCCTACCTTCACGGCTCCTCTTTCCATTCAGCACCTGTGGGCAAAGGAGTCACTTGCTTTCAAAGCTGCCAGTTGGCATTTTGCACCACGTGTGAGGCAGCAGCCTCCACTGTTACCTTCACCTGCTTTCCTCTCTCCTGGAACTCTGCTTATGCATTAAAATTCTGACATGAGAGATGCACTACATTTAATGCAGGACTTGTTTTGTGCAGGCTCTTCATGGATAAGAAAAGATCTAGAGGCTGAATACAATTCCTATAGAAAATAAATACACAGTTTAGGTGTGGGATTTTCTGTGGTGTTTTGACCAATGACTCTCAAATGTTGCAGAGTTTTTTGTTTTGGCTGGTTTGGTGTTGTTTGATTTTGAATGAAGTGAAAATGTTGTGGAATTGCCATCCAGTTTGCATAAACTGTACAAGCCAGGCAAATTCCTGCAAATATGAACCAATCTTAGTCTTATGACTAACACAGCAGTTCATTTGGAATTAATGAACAAAAAAATCTCCCTACTAACCTTTTCTGATGCAGATTGTGAATTCCAGGAAGTAAGTTGGTGCCTGAAAAGCTTTTCATTATTTCTTTATGCTCTACGGCACACAAACATATGCTTCACTTCCCTATTCAAGTGACTCAACAAAGATAACTTGGTTCTAAGGAATGACTTTACATCCAGGAAATTGGATTTAAAAAAAAAAAAAGAAAAAGAAAAAATTTTGATTACTAAATCCAATGTGAGGGTATGGGACAGCCTGTCTTTTCCCAGCATACTTGTAGCTCAGATTCCCATCTCTTGAATGCTTTTGTGTCATGGTAGGTTTTAACTTTGGAATTTCCCAGCTGAGTTTACACATTTGGTAAATACTGAACTCATACCATGAATGAAAATTTGACCTCAAAGGGTGGCTGAAGATTCAAACCATCTATCGGTATCGATTAATAATCTGACTCTGGCCACTGAAAATTGCTGGATGGAAAAGGCTAGCATTGAAGACACAGGTCCAAAATAATACATGCACTCTGTTGTTTTTTCGCACTGATAGTCCAATGCTCCAGACATTCACACCTTAGCATTTAAATTTAGGAACCAAATGTTGCTAGTATTGAATGCTATGATTTTGTGTCCACTGACAGCCTGTTCCAGTTAAAATAATCTGTTTATTGGGAGTTCTGTGGTTAAACTTAAAATGCAATACTTACCTTCTCCTCCCACTTCCAGCTTCTTCATTTAACTGGAATACTCCTGGATTGCAAAAGTTAAGTTCAGGGCTACTTTTGCCTTTCCTGCACTCCAGGACTCACTAGACTGTAGTTTGAATCTGTCAAGGGACTTTTGCAAAAGCCTGAGAAAAACACTCTTGGTTTTTAGTAACTGTTTTAACAACAGTTACGATATAGCAATGTATTACCTCTCCCATTCACCAGGGCTTTTGAGGGTTCTAATTGTTGCATGACACAGAGAAGATTATTGTATACGTACTTTTTGATGATCAGATTAATTCAGGAAAAAACACCGATAAAACCATAGCTGGACTGTGAACTTGGAATTTAGTAAAACATTTAAGAATCAAAGATGTTCTGAATTTGATCATGGTAGCTGAGAGTAAGTAAATATTTAAAAATCCCAAAACATGTGATATCCTATAGTTCTGAAATTCTGTGCAATGTGCTCTAGGACAACCCTGCTTAAACAGGGAGGTTGGACCCTTCCAAACTCACCCATTCTTTCATTCTGTGAAGTCTGGATCAGCATGTAGTATCAAGACATTGAATAGGTGCAAAAACTTCCTAAAAACCGTGGGCTTACATGCCTTTTTTTTTTGTCTTGCCATTTTTCCTAATAGGTTTGATAGGATTCTTTATTGCTTTTGGCATTGCTATGGGGAAAATGGGAGAACAGGCCAAGATGATGGTGGATTTCTTCAACATCCTGAATGAGATTGTAATGAAGTTAGTAACTATGATCATGTGGTAAGTTTGCAGTTCTAACTTAAAGAACAAAACAATTATTTTAAGGAAGCGCTCATAAGACCTCAATATAGCATATAGTGATCACAGTTTGTTAGTAAACAATATAATAAAATAGCTGTCTTTTTAAAGCCTTGACAGGTATGTTAGAACCACAGCAGCATTATTTCTCTTTAGTGAGGATTATTTAGTACCCAATTTGAAATATTTCTGAGGATACTCTGGTCTTCGTTTACTGAAGTACAAGACATACATGTACCAGCAAAGGCCTCCAAATGCCACATTGGTTATGGAAGTTCATTATACAGAAGGACACCTAAGCAAGGAAGAATCTCCACATAGAGATTGGGAAGATCCCAATCTTCCTGGGAGGTTAGCATAATCCCAGGATATTACCTTGGAGGTACAATTACAAAAAGGCCTGGACACACACACTATTTACTGTCTTCTGTAGTAAAAATATTTTACCACCAAATAACGTTCCAGTAGTTTTCAGTGATGTGTAGTCCCTCCACCCATAGCTTCTGCAGAATCTGTGTCTTACAACCTTGCTGTAATGGGGTCACTGGAAGATATCTGTCCTCTTTTCGAAGCATACCATTCATAATAATAGGGCCTGACTTGGAAATGACTTTGCCGAATTAAGACTGAGCCATTGTTTACTGCTACTAGGGGATTCCCCCCCTCCTCTTTTTTTTTTCTTTTTAGGTGTTTTCCCAAGGACTTCCCCAGAGCTATTTGTGTGCAGTGCCAAGCATGGCCATAAAAACAGTTTTTCAGAACATAAAAACGCGTTGCTATGTTTGGCATTGTAATACTGTGTTTCATATCTCCTAGGTCTCTGAGAGCAGAAATAGCTACTCCAACTCGAGTATCATGGCTCATTGATACCTGTGATTCCCTGCTGTTCCTGGAAGTGATTTCTTGAGTTACAAGGCCTCTTCTCTGAAGCTCTAGATAGGCACAGTTTATAGAAAAGGGAGCAGGGTGCCTGAAGCACGAGTCTTCAGCATCATCAGTGTTTCAAAGGGGGACTGTTATGCAAGAGTGATGAAGATATGTGTAGAATAAAAGAAAGAACTTGAAGCAATGGCTTTGCATTCCTGTTATGCTTCTGCTTTCCTGTAGATGATCTTGCTGCATAAAACTACAGTTGTTTTTATTCACAAAGCTTTCAATATTTGCTGTACCCTGCTGCTCTCAACTCTATAGAGAGAGTTTATACATCACTCCAGAAGCTAGAATTTACTCTTACTTCACTTAGCACCAGCTGGTAGACCCAAGACATAATACCCTGCCTACAGTATAAATTTTCTCTAGTAGTCAGTGTTGTAGTGGCAGCAATAGTTCCAATTTCAAGAAATTCACTGTAAATATTAATTTTTTACTGATTTGCTTTTTATTTCTCTTTCCATGAGAAAAGGAAATTGATGTTGGGAATTCCACTTGTTTGAAGTTGATGTTTGGAATTCCCCTTGTTCATTTCTGTCTAGAATTTTAAAAGAATTGTTGTGGCCAGAAACAAGGGGTTTTTATGTGTCTTTATAAAGAAAAATGCACTTCTTCATGCAGAGTAACATTTTGTTTGGTTTATGATTTCTCTGCACAGACAGCTGTAACTCCCATGGCACCTACAAACCGTCAGGAGCATGGCATTGCTACACAAGCATAAAACAAATCAGACATCTGGTTCTGACAGTGTGTAATTCTTTATAAGAATTTTGTTTCATCAAGTTCACTGAAATGTGGCATGGTATGATAATTGGTATAACAGCTGGCCTTGCCTTTCAAATGAATGAGGGTTTTCCATGTTTTGGGCACATTGTTTGAGAGACCATGAGATTTTCTAACAGAAAACAGGAAGCACTTTTATTCTGAAAGTCAGTTTGTATTGTCTTTAATTAAGCATCCAAATAACTGATCACCTTTGAAAATATACATTATCATTTATTTTCAAAGAGGTATTTTTTTCTCTCCTCATTACATTACTTTCTCTGATTTATAAAAACCAATTTTTATAAAACAGATAAAGAAGGTGAATCTCACTTAAAATTGTATAATATACTAGCTTTTACCAGTGCAGATATAAATACTGATTTCTATCCATGTGCTTTCAAGTATGTTTCACTATAGCTGATTATTAAGTATTTTAAATAATATCCATTCACTTAATTTTTTTTTTTGTTCCCAATCTGTGCTACTATTATCATCCTATTCAAAAGTTCCATTTATGTCTTCAGGAAATCACATGATTAAGGGGACAAAACTCTTACCCAAAGTAACAAAAGGACATAATTAATGAAGGATCCATAAACTAAAAAGCATTTGTTCAAATTATTGAAAGAACATAATGGAAACATTTGTAGCCTTCAAGATATAAGCAGTTCATTCCAACAAATAGTTTATCTGGAGTAAATAATGCAATTCCCTGAAACTATATAAACAGTGGTTTGTAAACTTACGTACTAAGAACAAATCTACACCACTCTTTGTAATGGTCCAAGCCTGAGTAACATTGTAGTATCCTTGTACAATGTTATTCCAGGATGCAAAACTGTTCAGGAAATGCATATTCCACTTGATGGGATGAAAAATGAGGTAGATGGGGAATTCACTGGAGATGGACATCATTTTTGAAAAAGATGTGGAAACTGTGCATTGAATTTCTATTCAATTTCTGATCTGCACCTCAGTGTTGAGCTTGAGAGCTCCCTGCTTTTTCTCCAGTCTATACTATGTTGAGCACAGTTTTTATGACTACATTGCAAAGACTAGTTCTGTCTGTGTTTGTGTTCTTTTTCCAGGTATTCCCCTTTGGGTATTGCTTGCCTCATCTGTGGAAAAATCATTGCAATCAAGGACTTAGAAGTAGTTGCTAGACAACTTGGCATGTACATGGTCACTGTGATTGTGGGTCTTGTCATCCATGGAGGGATCTTCCTGCCTCTGCTCTACTTTGTGATAACAAGGAAAAGCCCATTTTCATTCCTTGCTGGGATTTTCCAGGCATGGATCACAGCACTAGGCACAGCTTCCAGGTACACTTGAGAAATACCATTATGCTTTATTTTCTAGCCAATTATTAGCTGCTGTTTAGACATAATACATCCGCCATTCTGACCTTCACTACAAAAATTACTTTAAGCCACTGAATAAAAACTACTTTTAATCCAGCCATGTTGAAATAAGTCAAAATACCACATGCCTCCAGGATGTTTTTAGAGAGGTTGTAAAGCTACCTGCAGAGAGCTGGGAGACCCACTTTTTGTTTTCCTTTCTGGCATTAGCCAAATGACTCGTGCAAATTGTGTTAGCTCTGTGCTTGTTTCCTCAGCCAGGAAAAAGTGGTAATCCTATTTATTTTAAAAGACCAGTATTCATTGCATTTGAGAAAAAAAAAAAAAGAACAAACCAACCAAACAGTGCTAGGTTCCAAGAAGGAAGTGAAAAAATCTCTCAGATTGTACTTTCATCCATTTGGGCTGAGTAAGGGGACTCCATTGCAATGCTGAACATTTTAGACTTGTTCTTAATGCACAGAACAGGCACAACTAAGTGTGTAAGCAACACAGCTCTCAGTAATAGAATAAAATCAAAAATTGTTGCTTTGCATTGGGGCAGTTACTAGATTTTGTGTTGAAATTATTTTTCAGTTAAATACTGAATCTTAAAATTTTTTTCTTCCACAAATGTTTTATTTCTGAAGAAAAATGTGTCTTCCATTTTCATCCAAATTTGAAAATCAAAAAACCTAGTTCAAAACTGACCACCAGAAAATCAAGCATTCTTGATTTCAAGAGTGCCTTGGAAGAACTGTAATTCATCTGCCTCTTTGGGTCAACTCAAACCACTATGCTGAATAACTTCTCCCCTGATGAACAAGAGGCTCTGGAAGGGCCCTACTGATGTGCATAAATATCTGATGGGACAGAGCAGAGAAGATGAAATTGAGACTCTCTTCAGTGGTGCCCAGTGACAGGAAAAGAAGCAGTGGGCACAAACTGAAACACAAGAAATTCCATCTGAACACAAGAAAACTCTTTTTACTGTGATTTACTATGAAAGTGTGTGAATAGTGGCACAGGTTTCCCAGAGAAGTTGTGGAGTCTCCATTCCTGGAGATACACTAAACCTGTCTGAGCATGGTCCTGGGAAACCTGCCCTGGCTGCCCATGCCTTGAGCAGGGTGGCTGGGATGGGTGACCTCTAGAGATGCATTCCAACTGCAGTAATTCTATGGCTCTGTGAAACAATGTGAAATTACAGGAGATATAGTCTGGCCAGGAGTTTTAGTGAATTACAATTTACCTAAGGCTTTTGTTCACTGAAGTGTTTGAATTTCCACTTCAATAGTATTTTTTGATGAAGGTGTTTGTTGTATTTTGAGCAAGTGATTGTAATAGACTGAAATATTCCCACAAAAACAAAGCACTGTGGATCTGTGCAAAGAGCTGTTCCCCTCTTCCAGTCATCTTTTGCATCTTTTCCTATCCCCCAGATGTGTTTTATATAATTTCTTCCTGTCCTCCGGTGGTACAACATGGTTTGTATCTCTTTGCTAGGCTTTTTCAGTTCTTATTGTCATACAAATTACTCCCTTTAGAGCAAATTCACAATCAAAGGAATTTAAGAATTGTCCCTATACTCATAGGCCTGTCTGTCAGAAAACATCTAGTACTTGTATTTTGAAAGAAAATGCAAGAAATAAATTGTAAATTAGTCTGAAAAATTTATCCACACTCTCTCAAGCTTTCATGCTGCTTCAAGTCATGTTCATGTTTTGGCCTCAGTCCCACTTCCAGCTAAATGTAGGTTTAATTTAAAAATCAGCTAAAAAAGGCTGAATCACAGCAGAAAGTGGACATAGAAAATGCAAATGATGATAATAGAATTTCTGACTTTGCTCCCTTATGTGTGTGTGTTATATTGATTGTAATTATATCACCTTTACTTTTCTGCTTTCTCTCCTTCAGTGCTGGCACATTGCCTGTCACATTCCGGTGTCTTGAAGAAAATCTCGGCATTGATAAGCGTGTAACAAGGTTTGTTCTTCCTGTTGGAGCAACTATTAACATGGATGGAACTGCCCTTTATGAAGCTGTGGCTGCCATCTTCATAGCACAGATGAATGGAATTGACCTGGATGGAGGCCAGATAGTTACTGTGAGGTCAGTTCAAAATACTGCTAGGCTTTGTTTCTGCAGACTGTAAAATGTGTGTGCTTTGGGTTGGATGTCTTCTCAGCTATTGGATTCACTATGAAATCCATGCATTTCTAATAATGATATGCAAGTGAATGTTTTATACATAGGCCCTGGTTCTCTGGGGACAGGCCTCTTCTATCATTTGTGGATTTGGTACACGCTGGTGTTGTTTTACACTTTTGCAGTAGACAACTGCCACAGTTTAACCCCAGGAGCCACCAAGCCCTAGGCAGCCACTTGGTCACTCCCCCACCGATGGGATCAGGGAGAGAATCAGAAGGGTAAAAGCCACAGAACTTCTGGGTTGAGATAAAGGGAATAATATGGAAATAGAGATAATAGGGAAAGTAAAAGCCGCGCACACAAGCAAAGCAAAACAAGGAATTAACTCACTGCTTCCCATGGGCAGGTGGGTGTTCAGCCACCTCCCATAGAGCAGGGCCCCATCACGTGGAACCGTTACTTGGGAAGACAAAAGCCATCACTTCAAACATCTTCTCTTCTTCCTTCTTCCCCTCATTACTGAGCATGATGTCCTATGTTCTGGAATATCCTTTTGTTCAACTGGAGTCACCTCTCCTGGCTATGTCTCCTCCCAACCTCCCATGCACCTCTCATACCTCTCCAGCAGCAGTAGGAAAAGCAGAAAAGGCCTTAGATTTGTGTAACCCCTGTTCAGCAATAACAACAACGTCTCTATCTTAATCAACCCTGTGTTCAGCAAAATCCAAAACACAGCCCCATACCAGCCACTGTGAAGAAAATTAACTCCACCTCAGCCAAAACCAGCACAGAATACAATGTCATATGCTGTATACTACATGCATTCTCTGTCCAATGCAATGCTTTTTTTTTTTTAGTGTAGAGGGATTACAAGTCATATACTTCCTAGAATGTATGTTTTTATATACACCAAAGGAAAAAATATTCCTAAAATATCTGTCTATGTATTTATGTTTGCCTGTACTTTTTCTGTGACTTTGGTGAACAGATAAAACAAATTAACTGCAAGTAGCCCATCCTGATGGTGAGATTGCCTGTGGCATGGTCTGGATACTCGCAGACCTTTTGTCTCTAACCCAGCGAATATTAAGTGTAGTCTTTTCATATCAAATTGTCTTATCTAGGACTAAACTGAACATCTGTAAAAAAAAAAGAAAGTACCCATTAAAAAAGGATAAGAGTGATTGAAGACTGTTTACTGTAAGGGAGTTTTAACTTGATGAAGACAGCAGGTCTAACATTTTGAATAGCTAAAATGGAAACCGCGAGTGAAGGCTGTCAAGTCTGCCTTCTTCCTGTAGTTTTCACCCACACACTTTTCTTTTATTAAACCCTTTTAACTCTAAAGAAACTCCTGCAAAGGGATGTCTAATTCTATGTTTCTTGCCTAGCTATACTAGCTCCACATTTTCCATTTCTTTACTTCCTGCTCCAACCCCTGAAATAGTAAACCCAAGGTTTGTAAAAGGTTCAGGGTTGCTTCTAATAAAGGCAGATGCTAGACCTGCATGATGCATATTTGTTCCTAAAATTGAAAACAGACATTTCAGAGATGCCACATATTAAAATAAATTGAAACAAGGGAATTTCAAGTCAGGAATCTGCTGTTGTCCAAGGGATTTGGTAGGCTTGAACCTGAGTTACTCCTCTTCTCCTCTTCTGAGACCTGACCAATCAGCTCCTTCTTGATTTCACCATTTGAAGGCTGATGCAGCCAGGTGTGAGACTCACATTTACAAAGCAGTCAGCAAGTTTGGTCTATCTGTAATAAAACCACTGGTTCTCCTCTTCATGCAGTATAACATTTTTGTTACAGCAATATGACAAGAGCTATCACTTGAGGAGGCAATACAAATGAAGTGAAGGTTGTCTGGTTTTGTCTGTTATACCCACTTTGTGATACTGACAATATTCAAATGACCCAGGCATAAAATCATGAAGGCTTAATTAGCCTTTGACCAACCCTAGTTACTTCATACTGATCATGTTGTTCCTCTGGTTTCCTGTATTCTTTGGGAAAGGGTGATCTTGGAAACGGTAGCTAAGAAAGATTCTGTTTAGTCCTAAACAATTCTAGCTTTATTCCCTTCCAGGTCTGTAAGTGCTGCTGTAGAAAGGTTGGCAGGACCATTTCCTCACACAGCTTGGAAGCAGTCCCTCACCAGTTTAGGCTGGAAGTGCCTAAGGAGCTGGCATTGCATGCAAAGCCTGACAGCAGAGCAGAGCATCCTGCCTGCATAGCTGCTGGACCTATGAGAGTGTTTAGTAGGTCAAGTGGCACTCTAATCCAGACACCTAACAAACACACTGCAGCTTGGTCAGCTGGGTCAGACCTAGCCAGCCAGCATCTGCCAACTCTAAGTCAGGTTTACATCCTCACAGATTAGTTCTGTGGCTAATGGTCAAGGGTTTCCCCCCCATAGTCTGTTTCCCTCTGCTTCTGTATTGGAAGCACTTTCAGATTTGTTGGGTACACCCACAGAAGTGCAACCATGTTACTTATCTCTGTGTTTAAAAACACAGATAACTTTTCCCTTCCTAGTGTCTTGTTCCTTTTTCCATCTCCTTTTGTCCACTTTTCCTTTTTACTTACCCTTCCTCTCCCTCTCGCTCTCCCTCTTCCTCCTCATTCCTCTTCCCCTCCCCCTCGCTGTCTCCCTCTCCCTTTCCCTTTTCTCCATCTCTTCTATGTTTTTCTCTCCTTGACTTGCTCTCTGACAGATTTATTGTCTGTTCTTCATAGGACTACCCAATGGTGTTGATATTTGTTATGGTCTGTGTTGTATTTTTACAAGCCTTTGAAGCTCAGACATTCGCTCCACTGACCTTCATCAAAATATAACAGGCAAAAACAAACACAAGTTTGGATTTATGAAACAATCAGATCAATTTTACTTTTTCATCTAGGGTGATATGTATCTAGGCTTGGTACACCACTGGCTTGTATTTTGTGAGTTTTGGATGCCAGGACTTTTATTCTCTGTATTTAATAATAAACACTTTCTCTCAGCCTTTAACTCACAATTCAGTCTTGGAGTAACATAAATAAACAGAAATTAACCACCCTGAAAACTGAACCCGTCATCACCAAACTTCATTATGTTTGGATGATCAAAACTCAGGATTCAAAACCCTGGATGTGTTGGTAGAGTTCAGAAAACACCAGGACACAAATTTGAATGCCATACTAGCTTACAAAACTTATAACTCCCAGGCAACCCTCTTACAGCTCTCAGAACAAACCCCGTAGATCTGGCCTGACCTAAGAAATATTTTTAGAGAAACACAAGAGTGAAAACTACGGCCTCAGCTTTCCATGGCTTATCATATAGTTGTTGTTTTATGGGAAGAACTCATTAAAAATATGACCTTGCTACTGATCACATGACTTTGCAATGAAAGTGTATGTTTATCTTCCTGCTTCTCCCATTTGATTTTTTATTTTGCAGTTTGACTGCCACCCTTGCAAGTGTTGGAGCTGCCAGTATTCCCAGCGCTGGACTTGTCACTATGCTTCTGATCCTTACTGCAGTGGGTCTCCCTACCCAGGATATCAGTTTGCTTGTTGCTGTTGACTGGCTTTTGTAAGTTGTGATGACTCCACTGTTTCATGCAGAAAAAGTAGTGAAGTAATCCTTCTCTGTAATGCTTTTCAGCCATTGATTTCAAAGAACTATAATACTCTCCTGTACAGATAAATCAAAGGAGGAAAGGGGCTATTCAGTGAAGTAGGAGACACTGAAAGCAACTTCTCCACTGTTGCAAACTATTAGAGAGCTGCTGAAGTCAGTTTCTGTGAGCCAAGGGTCTTCTTGTCAGACTTGTGAGCTCACACTTATGTATTTTCTTCTTCCTAATTATGCTTTCCCATCACTCAAGAGCAGTTTTCTGATCTTTGCTTTCATATTTCTGTTATAGTTCTGGTCTTATGTAAAGGATGAATGCTGAAAATGCAAGATCCATCAGGATTTTGTCAGCAAGTTACAGGGTGATTTCAGCATTTGTAGTATCAAATATTTTATTACTCATAGTGGGAAAAGTCAGTTTATTTTCAGACATAAGACAGTAAAATACCTTTAAGAAGAGTCTATTCTAGTCAGGACATAAACCAAAGACAGATAAGAATGCAAACTGAAAGAAAGAAGGTAATTCTCTAGTTTTGTTTTACTGACAGATCCCTCAAACTGGAAAGACTGGCTTTCATTTCCAAGGACTTGAGATCAAAGTCCTTCAGTGCCACTGCAGGTCCTCCAACAAGAAAGAGCTAAGCCACATATAATTTTCCAAGGCTTTTGGTCTTCAAAGTTTGAATACAGAAACTGTAAATATAGATAGAGGATATGCCAAGCCACATTCTTTCTCATGTTGTCATTTGACAGCTTAAATATCTTTCTGTCACCTGTGCAGAGCTGACAGGAACTCAGTAGTCCTCTAACTTGTCCTGGGCTCTGTAGAGACTTTCCTATTGCCCTGTGCTGCTGCAGCACAGTCTATTCTGGTCAACAGTCATCTCTCCCCTAGTATTCTTTTAAGCAGTAAAGACACTTTGTTTTTGTCATTCCAGCTATGGTGCCCAGAAGGGGAGATGTAAGTATAACTGTACTGTCTGTGCATTTTCTCCTACACTAGCAGCCTCAGCTGCCTGCTTCTGGTAGCTTTCAGTCTCGGATACGCAACAAAAATTATGCAAGAAGAAATAACAGAATTGAGAATGTGAAGTCAAAATAGAAAAATTATTTTCTATTATTATCTTGTGGCTTATTGAGAATTCGAGAACTTAGTCAATCCTCTGACATGTCTTTTGGATCTACTACTACACCTGTCACTTGAAGTCTTAAAGAATAGAACACAGCTCTGATTTCTACTTCAGGGAAAAATGAAAGAGGAATTTACAGCTTGAGGAGGCAAAAGGAAAAATTGACTTAGATAATTTATATATAACTGAATAGCATGATATCACGATGCAGAATGGTGAAATGAGACAGAGTTCAGCTGGCAGAGTACATCTGGCATAGTGAAAGGTGTGATATTCTGTGGGTTTATTATATTTATGAAGTCAAAGTTGAAAACAGGAAAGTGGCATAGGAATCTGCAGCTGGGAGGAGGAGATAAAAAAAATATAAAAATATATTTTAAATATATGTTTTTCCTGGCTCTCAAAGTAAGGCAAATAGGTAGGTTTCTGCAGCTGGTAGGAGGATATGCAAAAGGAGCCTGTGGTTTGTTTGGGTTTTTTAGGGAAATGCCTTTTTAAAATAATCCTGTGCACCAAGAAGCTCTGCCCACACCAGTAAGCCTCAGAGATGTAAGTTTATCAGCATTTCTGATCCACTGGTAGGTGTTGCATTTCATTCTCAGTTTCAGCAGCATTGTTCCTACTGCTTAATCCAGTCCTGTTTAGGAAATAAAAATTTCTGTACTGTGGAGCTGTAGCTGTGATGAATGTATGTATAGGAAGGATAGCAATTCTGAAAGAAATATTTCAAGGTGTCTTTCCAAAATAAATGGCAGGCAAAAGAACTTTCAGCCCAAACAGTTGGGTTTGGGTCCGGGTCCTTCTGGCTTAACAATCAGCAGTGCAATTGCAGCATGATTCAGAATTGAAAGATAAGGGGAAAAGAAATAAAAAAGAGATTAAAAGCTCTGTGTCATTCCACTAGGGCTGCAAAGTCAAGACACTGTTTGTTGGTGGAAGTGTTGTGCTTGTTAACCTATGTTCAACAAGTAACAGCTTTATTTTCCATCTTCCAGTGGCTGTGTTGTGGTAGCCACTATGATCTAATGAGCTATTAAAAATGATGATGCTGACATTGCTATTTTAAGAAATGGCACACAAGCCAACTTTTGAGCAAGCTTTTGCATGCACAAACCAGACCTAAGGAGTATCTGAAATGAAATGTCATAAAAAAAGATGTTTTCTTTACTTACAAACCTGTCTTCTTCCTCTTCTTTAGATCATTAAAAAACATTACAGCAGTATTTCTAATGGAATGTAGAGTAGAAAGTTAATAAAATATTTAAGACCCAATTTTGGAATCCATGTGTAAATGCAACCATCATGTAGAAATACGAAGAATAGCTCTTTTATAACATTTTTATTTCGGATAGATAAAGAAAACTTTAAAAAAAGTTCTTACTCTATGAGTTTCCCAGTATTTCTGATGAAAGCAGATATCATAAGTTGATTTTACAATACTAGCACCATCTGTGACTGTGGTCTTACCAAAACCAATTTTCCATGATTTGCAATTCATGGTGTAGCACAAAGACAACTTCTTATCAAGGTTTTAAACTTGGCACTCTGGCCTTCAAAAGCTTTCTGTATTGACTTCTTCTCAAGTCTCTCCAATACCTAGAGATCAGGCTGCTCAACCTTTCTCCCTCCCATGCACACATACCCATCGTAGCCTCCTTCACCAGGCAAGTTTACCAAAACTTTACAAGTCTTGCAGTCTCTGAGTTTAAAACCAAGCACAACAGAGCAGTGACATTTAATAGGTCAGCAATTACATGCCAGCAGATGGAATAAAACCAGCTTACTTTGCTCTAGCCAGAAGCTGGGTACTCTCCAGATGTGAACTGACAAGCTTAGCAAATATCAGTGGTACCAGATTAGTGGTATTTTGCAATAGAGAGGAATTAGGGAAAATTAGCTTGGACAGCTTATCCGGTATTTAAACCTTCATTCAGTAGCTCAGAAAAAGATTGCTTCAGTTCTGGCTCTGTTCCTTGGTTTAGATCTAAATTCAGACTGTTCAGACCCGGTTGATGTCTGGATGTTACGAACAGGGTCTGCAACCTCCCTCTGTTTACTTTGTTTACATGTCCCAGCGTGCCTGGAATTAATTGGTTGGTTTGTTTAAACAAAAGAGTAAGTGCAGTTGCCTTTGTTCTTCTTAGGGTGTTCTTTGGCCCAAAAGAAGTCAGTGGCACTTTGATTCCTGACAGCTGAGACTTTGTCCTATCTGTTGTAAGGGACTTGTTTCCTTTGGCTCCTGCAGTATAGGGCATGTTCTGCATCAGTGTGCAGTTTGTATTGATGAATGTCTTGGCTAGTGGTACACATATATGGGCTGGAGTATCTCCTCAAATGAACCTTTCAGAATTTGAATTGTGCCTCAGTTGCATTTATGTACTCTCCATCATGGTATTTTGGCATCCTATACTATCCCTCTGTCATCTGGCATCAGTGAATTCTTTCAAAATGAATTCTTTCAAAATTGAGCAAGTGTTCTTTTTGTGGAACTATATTGCTGGGTTCAGTGTATTGATGGTCTCAATTAAAAGTCACACTCAGAAAGTCTTATTTTCCTATTCAACTGCTCTGACCAGGTTAAAACACTCTTCACAGGCATGGGATGAGAACTGTGTAAAGCATTTTATTTGTTTGAAGCAAAACTGGAAGAATGTTTTCATCCTATAGGTTTGTTTCTTTCTTTCTCAGGGGGATTACTGGAGAGGTTTTTTTACCCCCTGGGTATTCTTTTGATGTCAAAAAAAAAAAATATTAACTACTTCAGCTAAGATATTACACCATGAAGTCCAAATATGTAGACACGCTAATGTTGAAAGGGAGAGGAGAAACTTGAATGGGACTATAGATCCACAGCTGAGAAAGGCAGATTTAAAAATGTTTTAAAATGGGCTCAAAAGTTTGTATGGCCACAAATAGGTATGTATAATGAATGTTTATCAGTTTGGGGTTTACATATTTAGCTCTTTTTTTTCTCGGTGTTCTACAGGAAAAGGAGATGTCATACAAATCTGGCACTAGAAATACAGGTTGTTTTAAAATTAATCACTGTCATGGGAAATGAGGTCTTACATGCTGGCTTTTCTGTCATTTGGCAAATGTCCACACTGTTCAACCTGCCCACTTTGTGTAAATGAATCTTGATGAATATACTTCTGAGAATTAATCAGTGTAATCACTTCTCTGACCTGTTTGACAAAGCTAGATTCAGTTGCTGTAAGTTGCTTTAAGTTGCAACCCTCGGTCAGAAGGGTTTTAGTTTTATGTTTAGTTCAGATATGAAGAGGCAAATTAGACTGTAACTTATTTCAACAGGTGTAATACAGTCTACCTGCAGTAGGAAAGATAGCAGAATCCATGTCCCATTTTTTCAGAATTTTAGGGAGGTTTGAGGCAGAATTTTGAAATCAGGGAAAATCCACTGTTGATAGATAGAGCCACATTAAAGACAGGACAGCAGAAAGGTGGCATGTCTGTGCAATGGCATCGTGTCCAGGAAGCACTATCAAACATATTTGTTTGAAATTAAGCATGTTAGCCTCAGCTGGCACCCTCCTATGAGGGGCACTCATTACTGAAATGCTGTCACAGGCTCATTATTTTGTAGGCCATGACCTATATTTGCTTTGCTCATATGCCAAGCTCTGGCATGGAGCAGTGTGAATGGGCATGCTGCCACACTAACAGATGGCCATCTGTAAAGATGGTGCCAGGAGAGGAGCTTCAGTGGCCTGAGCATTATGGAGATATTTCATGCATTTTTGTTCCCCACAGTTTGCTCACTGAGAGTAAAGGGAGAAACCATTTGTGAATTCATACCAGAAAGGAGAACAGCTCATCAGATCCAAAATCCTTTTCTCTGGCTGCATGAAGTTCGGTGCTCTGATTAAACAAAGGGTAGTGGTATGTGGCCATTGAAACCTCCAGCTCCAGAAACAGGCGCTGGGGAGATCTCAGTCAAGCAGCTCTGCAGTTTGGCTGTGATCTGGCACACATTCCTTGCCAAACTCCATGAGAATGTGCAGCTGGGACATGGGAGGTTGAACATCCTCCCTGTCTGAACAAGTCCTCTGGGAAAGCAAGCTTTTCTATTTCCCTTGAAAGCTCCCATCTCTCTGTTCAAAAGATACCTTAACTTCCTGAAACAAATGCAGTAACTGTGACAGTGACAGGGCTGCCATGCCCTACTTTTTTTTCCTTTCATGCCATTCAGCCTCTGCCTTTTACTTCTTTTGTAGGGACCGGATGAGAACGTCAGTCAATGTAGTGGGGGATTCTTTTGGTGCTGGCATTGTCTACCACCTTTCCAAGGCAGAACTTGACACCATTGATTCCCATCATAAAGGGCACGAAGACATTGAAATGACCAAGACTCAGTCGATCTATGATGACATGAAAAATCATAGGGAAAACAACTCAAACCAATGTGTTTTTGCAGCTCACAACTCAGTCATGGTAGATGAGTGCAAGGTACCTTTCACATTTATGGATATTGAGACATGTATATAGCACTGCATGCTTTATTTTATCTTATTTTTTAACCTGCATGTATTTTTCAAATCGTTCTGCAAATAACAATGTGACAACAAGGTTCATGAACCCCAGACATTTTGAATGTGTTTGAGCAGATCAAAAGATGTTTTTTTGCACTCTTCTTAAAACTTGTCATTTGATGGGAAAAAATCATGTACATTGTTTACATATCAAAAGGCAAGATGCAGCGTATTATGGAATATGCCAAGACGCAGAGAATATGGCATCACCTTCCATGGACGTTTACTTAATTTTCTATGGCAACAGAGAACTTAATTGCCAACCCAAATGAAGGATAGCTGAAATTCAGATACAGCTGCTGTCACTTGCTGACTGCCTTCCTGATATGCTGTTCAGAGATCGACATGTTGAATGCACTTTAGCATCAGAAGGCTCCTGCACTCATACAGCATGCTCATGCTTCGCTTCGCACATCGTTCCTTCTTGAGTCATTAAGACACAAACATTGTATTCTCTCTCTAATCCTTGCTGTAACTAATGGAGAATATTAACAGTAATAATAACACCTTGATCAGAGTAAAGTGAGCTTGGGAAACTCCACCAGTTGAATGAGAAAATGGTTGGGGAGATTAGTGGTTAAAAGTTCACTAAGAACCCACCACTAGGATGGGGCAGTTTAAGACGGGGAGAGAGCTTTTGAAAAGGAGGAGAAAGAGAATGAAAACAAGATGGAACCTTTAATTGCGTAGTCTTTTTTTTTGTTTATAAACACTCCAGTCTGATGCTGTACCCTGTCTTTGAGACAGTAAATTTGCCAATTGGCCCACCTTAGCCACTTATCCAAAGAGATTCTCTTGTATCTTCCAGTTGCCACAACTGAGCCAGTATCTAACTGTGAATGACTGCACTAAGTCCATTAGCAGATTACCATATAGATCACCAAAACATTATTAAAACATTATCAAAACATAACTCCTATTCTATCATTTTCACTTGTCTCTAGCCTGGCTGGAAATGTTCTTTAGAATATTTGTTTTTTCTAATGCTTACTTCCTGATAATGTAGGCCAAACCTGAATTGTCAGGGGAAAAAATAATACTGAATTCAGAAAAAAACCCCAGCTTTCATCTTCAATTTTTCCCTGAATCTTCCAAGGTTTCAATAAAATGATTTTGTAAAAATGAAAGCATACATTTTATTTTGACATGGCTCCCTCTTTCTCTTCTGGCCCACTCTTTTTCCATGAGAAAAATTAAAAAAATAGAAACTGAAATGGAAAGAGAATACATGCTTACACAAAATCAAAAATTGTCAAGAATTTATATTTCTCAAAAAAGGGAAGGAAGGACACAAGAGATTAAAATTTGAAGGAAAAAAGAAATTCTCCAGAGAGAAAGATAAGATTTGATAATTTTTTTTCATTAAAAATAAGCATGGGCACAGCCTCCCTTTTTGGATAACTTCCTTTAGAATTTTTGGAAAAGTGTTTTTGAGTTAAATAGACTATACTAATTTCAGTGGGTTTAAGACAAATTAAGCTACCCTATATCAGTCTTGAATCACGTTCATGGAACTGAATACTGATAATTTTGTCTGCTTCCAGTCTCTCAGGTTTGCACAGAGATCCAAGTCAAGTTAGGAAGCTGTTGCAATCAATATTTGCTGGACTTTCTTTTCTCCTTCAGTGTCCCTTATCATTTCCCTCATTTGAGGCAGAAGCTTGCCTCAAAACAGTGGATTAATAGTGTAGTATGTCATCCTAAGCACACCCTTTAATTAAAGTTTTGGACTGAGGATTTATGAGCTAGAAGTGTTCGACCTTTTTAACAGTTAAAGGTTTGCTCTGCTTGCAATCTCATTTTGCACTTTTAAACTCATGAAAAGAGCCAGGCTTTTCTGGATTGAGCACAAGACAGACTTTGAGCAGGTCACTTCTCTTGTCCACGTGTCTGTCTGCAAGCTGCCAAAAGGATGTGTTGTTGTGACCTAATTGATAAGCTATGGTGACATCTGCAAAGTGTTTGGACCATGTTGAAGTATCTGTACAGCTCCTAAGTGTTAGACTAGCAAAGGCAATAGAGTGCAGGATTTGGGGCTTCAAAACAAGCAACAGTTAAATCTGAAGAGACTTCTCTTCATCCTGTCAAATGCACTGGTGGGTTGAAAAGCATACTGCAACTCTGATCAGGATTTGGAAAAGCTAATCTACTAGCATGTCCTTTCTATTTACTTTCTGTAATATATTCCATGTATAACACTAGTACTTTATAATTTTGCATGGTTAATGTACATAATTAATAATTAGTTTACCTTTATATGGGGGTAGAATGGTTGTTATTGCATGATATTTTTGTATTTTTTTTATTACCACATTTCTCATGTCTCTGTGTGATTTTCATTTCTGAGCAAGCTGTTCATTCCTGTATTTGCATGTTTCCCCCTTTCAATGATCTAAGAAAAAGCTTGACTTTGTTTCAAAAATCAGTGCATTTTGTCATGTTTCCATGTCCCAATGCTTCCATGCATCCAGTTTATCCAGCATGGGGAATTTCAGCTCTGTCTTTAAGTTTTCATTTGAAGCTGAGGATGTTAACTTACAAGGTAAGTTAGGAAAAAGTAAACCATCCATTTAGAATGAAATGAAAGATTTTCTAACATTATAAAGATCTAGATCACTTTCATAAAGTTAAATTGACATTTTACCTTTTTAATTTTTTTAAGTCATTTGGCTGGAGATATTTCTTGAAACATGAATTTATTTATAGTGATTTCTGGAATGCAGCATACTCACAGCGTTTACTGTGAGTTTAGATCACTATAGGTCATCTACCATAGTTAAAAATTTTAGCACATATCTTTACAGGAAAGAGCAAAGTTTTGTGGTACTTTGTGTGAGACAAATAGGACATTACTATGAATTTTTTATCTGACTATACTCAAAATCTTTCACTACACTGTTATAGTGGTATGATGAACAATACTTTCACAATATATCTTTTCTTCCATTTCTTTAAAGGTGGTGTAATCGTAGGTGAGTTTATGTAGATACACATCTATGATTATTCAGACCTTGCATATTTTTCATGTCCTCGCATCAGTTATGCATCTTTCCTAAGGAATTCCACTGAAAAAATAGGACTTTCTGCATAAAAAAAAAAAAAGTAATCCGTTTTTGAAATAACCCAGAGAAATCTATAAGAGATGGAAAGGAGTAAAATCTAAAATATTTATTTAATAACATTTTTCTACTGTTAATATTTTCTAGTCAGTTTAATAAATGAACGGGAGTTTCGGTATTTGACAGTGTTGTGAATCCTGAATAAATACTTCTATAATAAGTCACAGTGTATGTAATTCCTGCAAATATCATGATCTTCCATATGAAACTCATTACTTTTCGTATCAAAATGCCTTCACCTTTAAGTTGGTTGTTGATGATAATTACTTGCAGGTAACACTGGCAACCAATGGCAAATCTGCAGACTTCAGTGTTGTTGAAGAAGAGCCTTGGAAACGTGAAAAATAAGTGAAGAGATCCCTAGCTGCGTCTTTAATAAGCCCTGGAGCTATCTTCTGGCAGAAGATATCATGACTAAAGAAGATTTCTCCTTTTTTTTCTCTTTTTTTTTTTTTCCTATTTAACATCTACAATTTCTGCTTACTTAATTTTGTAAATGAAACTTAGCAAAGATCTCATCAAGTCATTGTAATGTCTTTGCCAAGCAATGATCCATAACCATCTGTCTCCCTTGTGTTACTGTTTGGATGATGCAGCTGGAGAATACTCCATGCGGTGCAATGTGCTCTCACCCACTTTCCCTTTCATTCAAGACACAGAGAATGTAAATGCTGCAAAATGGGAAGATCAAAGTGCCAGTACAGTTCACCACAGGGACTCAGGGTCACAAATACAAGAGAAACATAACACCACATAAGCCTTCAAGTGTTTTGGTGACTCTTGTGACATACCTGATCTGTTTATCACTGTATGGCTAAAATATCTTTTGAAAACGTCCATAATGATTTCTATTTGTTTTAATAACTACAAGCACTGTACTTTTGTGCCTAATTGTACTTCAAACTGACCTTAGATCCAGGGGCAAGATTAATGTACAGAAGTCAATAAATTATCCCAGACATTGTGTTCTGTACAACTGATAGTTAGCATGAAGAGAAGACCTTAGATTTGTATGTGCATGTGGTGTGTTTTTATCAGATGTCCCAGGGTAGGTGCAGCCTTTATTTTATGATGGTGCAGTGCTCCTTTGTGACCACAGTGCATCATATAATACAAGGCAGTATAATTACAGGGGTGGTATTCACTAAATCTGCCTGATGTGCAAAACCACAGACTCAGTTATGGCATTCTTAATCAAAGTAGGTAGTACCTTAATGTTCACCCTGCTCCACTGCTCAGAGAGATTCCTCATGTGGATGAGATTGCTCCAGTAAGGTACTACTGAGATTGATCATGGATGTTACAATTGGATACTTGAGCTACAAACAAATTCTGAATCCATTATTCTTAGAGAATTGTTGAATGAGATCATCAGTAGCATTTGCTATGAAGTGAAAGCCATCTTTCAAGTATATCATGTTTCAGTGAATGGCTAAATCCTGAATTCATTGCTAAGCCAAATTTCATACAAAGTTAATAAAATTTTTCTGGAGTTAGGACTAAAAGAAGACTAAACCAGAATTTCAGGATTTATTGAATTTACATCTCTGTCTCTTTTGCTGAGTAGTAAGTCATGTAACTCCTTAATGGCAGAGAAATGTTTCTTAGAGAACATGGCATCTGAACTAATGAGACAGTGTTTTGTGAACAGATTATATCTGATTCATCCTGTCAGAAGAAGTTACAGTTACAATAATTGCCCTGTGAAGTGTTTTTAAAGGTGCTTGTTAATATTCAGCAATTTTAAGATACTGGTGAATGCCATTATACTATTAGCAATGTTCTATAGCAAAGCTGAGCCACATGGCCTTGCAAGGCTCTACTCACAGAACAAGCTTTGTGCAATTTTTGGGGGAGCTCTCGGAAGTTCTCAGAATTAATCAGAATATGAGCATATGGTGAACTTAAAAATGGCAGTAAACAGAGTTGAAACATTTATGGAAATAGACCATTCAGTGTCTGTGCTCAGACCTGTCATGGATTTAAACAGGAATAATGTGTTTAACTGTAGGGTGTTATTTGGCTCTGTAGAAGCTATTAAAATATAAATATGGTCTGCTTTTGTTCATCTGCATTCATATAAATATCTCTGTAAATGCACACAGACTTGAGCCAGCTAAGGCTACTTGCATGGTTAATGATGTGCAAGATCAAGTCCATTGTCAGAGTATCCCTCCTTTAAGCATTTGTTGTGGAATATTTTTCTTACCGTTGTATTTTTGTAATCACTTGAATTCCATGGCTACAATCCTAAGCAAAATGACCTATATAATTAACAAATATTGAACCACTGTGAATTCTGTAGGCCTCTAACATGTATTAAAGGTGGAGACCTTTTCCAGAGGCCTCCTGAAGTATCTTAAGGATAATTTATTTTTGGTGAAGGATGGAATTGTATGTTACTCAGAAAAGTGGCAGGAAGGTTCTCTTTTCTTCAGTCATTGTTGTTAGCATATCCAGAGTTAACCTATATCTAGCTACTGCTTTTCCCAATTAGCTTTCACTGGGTTATGTGCCAGAAATGTGCCTGGGATGCTGTGTAGGTACTGTAAAATGTTCCCTGCTCTGAGGGTGCTGGCTCACATCAAGTGAAATTTGCTGTGACTTGGGTAGCAGTTATATCCAAGAAAAATACATAGCGTTTACCCTGGTTTATATCCAGCATTCTTGAGCTGTTTCATGGCACAGCTCACCCCATAACAGATGATTTTTCATCCTCTTCACCATAGCAGTTTCTTAGGAGCAGCCACAACGATTGCTTGCCTTTAAAGTAGCTTTAGAAAAGTGGTCCATATACTTTTAGCTGTCATTTGAAACTGTTTAGCATTTGGAAACAAACAGGAATGTCATCAACATGTGACTAGGCAGCTCCACAAAATTACATACTGAGAAATGCTTAAAATATGCTTACAGTTATCCACTTGGGATGTACTGTCCTTTGAAGACTGCTTCTTTGGATGGAGACTAGGGAAGGAAGGAATGCAATAATAGAGAAACCCCACCCACATATGGAAGAATAAATTTGGGTCTTTTGATAGGATTAGAATAGCAGACTGTGATTTTAAAATAGTAATTCTGTAGATAGAGTAACTCAGGGATTTTTCAAAAGATAATTATGATGGTATTCCTCTATTTAAATGTGGATGTGGGAGAAGGAGAAATGTTGGGTTTTTTTATTCCTCTACTTGTAGCCTGACTGAATATTTAATATAGTGTTACTCCAGTGCAGCACTGTATTAAATCATCAAAAAGCTTTCCACTTCTGTGGGAAAATGTAACTCACTCTTGGCTTTCATTTCTCAGTTTGCTCAATCCACATGAGGTTGGGTTGCTACTTAACTAAACAAACAGAAAATAACCAGGGGACCGTCCACTTCAGTTAATACAAAGTTCACATTTCAGCAGGCAGTGCTGGTTACTTGCCAGCCTCCTTTTAGTTTCACTAGGAGTGTCGATGCATTCATTTGAATCTGGCAATTTTTTTGAATGTGTGCACAGTGCTGGGGTGGCAAAGTTAAAGGAAAAGCACAGTGGAAAGTGATTTGTTTTCTGTGTAGTTCAAATTAACATTTCTTTGTACATTCATCTCACTTGCTGCTCTGTCAGTTCCCCCCACCTTTGTCTGTGCAACTGCAATAACTTTTGGCCTTTGGATTGCTGACAGCACGCTGGCACATGGAAAAGTCTAGACCAGGCTAAGACTCAGTTAATTGCATACTAAATTAAATACATACTTATGTGTTTGCTTTGTTCATTTGCTGCTGCAAGTGAGGTCGGCATTCTCTTAGTATCTGTTCACTGAAACTAAAGCACACTCTATGCTAAAACTATGGGAGAGGTGGAGCACTTTGACATTGAACTTGTTTCTTCATTGCTTCCCTTGGAAGACAAAGGCTGCACCAGCCTTTTAAGAAAGGTGTGTGAGTCTTATACATGAAGATGCTTCAAATAGATAGAGGATAAGCCATTTGAACTGTTTTATGAGATGTGCTCTTTCTGTTTGAATTGGTGAGAAACTTGGTATGTCTTTGAAAAATTGTTTGCAGTGGTAAAACCTGTGCCTGCAATGCTTTGACTGTTGGACTACATGAAACCCCACTGAAATCTGTGGGAGTCACAAGCTTCCAGGAAAAGTCAAGTCCCTTCCTGTCTCTGTTAAGTTATAAGACATTTCACAATCCCATCCTAGGGAATAGTCTTTCTTCTATTTATAATGAAGTTGATTCTCACATCCAAAAAGATTTCTGCCAAGATGGTTCTTTTTTACCTAATTGTTTCTATGCTACAAGTCCAGCACTGAAATTAAAACTCAGCACAAAAAGAAGGATCACTATCATTATAGGTTTTTTCCATGTCTTCTCTAAGGTACAGCTGAGCTCTGTTTTTTCTCAAAGCATGTGGAATTCCAGACTTTATGCCACTTTTAAAGTAAGAATAATATAGATTTCTGATTTGTTTTCCATCACTCCCAGGGTCATTATTTTCCCAGCAGTAGATACTTAGAAGAGTACACTGTTCATCTGAGAAGTGGCAGCACTAGTGTTTGAACAAACTTATTTTGGTGACTGCCTGGATTTTCTTTGCTTCCTTGCCTTCACTTGTGTTATTGCAGCCTTGTTGTAGCAACACAGCAGCAATCGCACAAATCCGCATAACTATAGGTAGTATTAAACCTCACCTCTGACATTCACTTCTGTAATTATCTTCAAAAGGGCTCTGAGCTTTAGTACCAGGCTCAGAAGAATCTTTTGTGGAGATGTAAAGGTATAACTGTTTCTCATTTCATTAAGTTCCATTCATCTATTTTTATTGCTGCATTTGAATTAATTTACAGAAGGATAAATAAGGGCACTTTATAAAAATGTACTGTAATATTATTCTGTTATGAGCCTGAAGACTGTCCTTGATTTTATTACTGTGACTTTTAAGGCCACAATTATGATATTTTTCATATTAGCTATTGTGATAGGTGTAGAGTCCATTGGGACAGTTAACCTCGGCTATAATTCACCATGTACCACTATAGAGAAGCTTCTGTTCCCAGCAGAAAGCATTCTTCTCTCCAGTAATACTGATGACTTTGAAGGAAAAATATTTACCCCATTTCCTTTGTCTAAATAGTGATATATAGAGTGTAGTTTCAAGTACTAAAAAAAAAAAAAAAAAGTAATTACGATTCTGAAGTGTCAAAGAAGGCAGTCAAGCTGTAAATGTATTGTTCAGCTTCACCATGTAAATTTTTTTTAAATGTTGTGTTCTTGCTCACAATTTTCCTGAAATAATGTATTTAGTGCACATTCCTTCCAAAGTCGTCAGTCTTTCCTCCCACATAGGCACGAAGGTTGTATCTCTCCATGGTCCTCAGACAAAGCACAGACTCTGCAGTTCTGCACACTTAAGGCAGGATTCTGGGTAAAGTCCCCAGGAACAGTGCCTGAGGACTGTACAACAGAAGCCTCCTTCATTTTTAATTCCTGATCATGTTTTATGTTAAATTGAAATCTGCTGCTATGAATGAGTCAAATCGCTGCTGATGCCCAGGTGCTGGTAATTCTTTTACTTCTTTTATGAGTGGGCTCCCTGGCACAAGGCTCTGAGGAACTGTCCCTCACATGTGCCCACAATCTTAGAGACATTTTCCCCTGCTCAGGGGAAACCCAGTGACTCCCCACTACCGGGTTGGTGTAAGTCCTGTCACAGATAAAGTGGTTGTGCAGTTGCAACTACAAGTCTTATGAAAAAGCCAGGTTCCATATATTGAAAAAACCTAGAGCATATGACTGAGCCACTGAGTAGGTCTCTACTGGTCCAGGATGGAAATAACTGACAGACTAATGCAAGACTGGGGAGACAAGAAGACTTGTGAGATTTATCACTTCACCCAACCTTTGACCCCCTTTCATTTCTAACTACATTCTGCTGCAGGGCCATTGCTGATCGATGCTAGAGCATCCAATCCTTCTAGTTTGATTTTTCAACATTCAGGACTCCTGCAACTGTTTTTAATGATGCTCTGTGGCATACATCATTGCATGTAGGGAAACTGGCATAGGCAGCATCACACAACCTGGATTGTCTTGTACCTGTATATTGCTTTGTACATAAATAATATAGTTTGCAGGGATTTTTGTATCATTCTTTTCCATTTGTTTTCTACATTTTTTTTGGAGACTGTATGCAAACTGTGCTTGCATATTGATTTTGTAGTTAGTATTGTAGATCATAGCATTTCCATTTTGATGGTTTCTTTGGATTTGTGAGTTCCTGTGCACTACAGGTTGTCCTTCTTTCTTAAAGACAATTGCATACACTTCCATCCAACACATCCTGCTCCTTTCTTAAATATATCATATTTCCTATGATCTGGTATGAACTCTTGCTTGTAGAATGCATCAGAAAAAGCTGAATATGTATTTATAGTGTTAAATATTGTATGATCAACACTGATTTAGTTAAGAATAATACAGGTTTTAGGGTTTGTACTTGTTCTCTGGAAACTACAGTGTAGACTGACTTAAATTACCTAGTATCTGTAATTTACAGACACACAAATATTTTCTTATAATATTTTCTATGTGATTATATAAGGTAGGGACATAACTCTTTAAAGGTGACCAATACCTTAGAACAAAACCAGTTTTCTTATGACATTTAGGATCAATTAAATATTTCTGTGTTACGTTTAGTGACAATTTATAGACAAAGCACAAAATGCAAGAAGCAAATAGGAATTTCAAGATGTCCTTAAATGCTGCAGTTCATTATGGAACAATGTTATATTAACCTAATCTGAGCAATCTTCTAGGTTGACTGTCTTGGGCAATCGTCCCTCATTGTTATAATTTTTCCTGATGTTACCTTTGCCAAATCCTGCAGTTCTTTCTTAGGCCCTGATAATGTATGTTTGTTTGACTCAAAATGCAGTTTTAGAAAAACTGGAGGAGGCAAAAAATGTGTTATCAGGTATCCCGTCCATCTTGCTACAATACAATGTGTGTGAGTTTAGCCTGTGGAAAGAATTTATGATCTCACCACCTACTTTTGCCTTCTTGAAAAAGGACCAACAAACACACCATGGGACCAATGGAATTGGGTAGCATCCATACAAATACCTCCTGCTTTCTTATGTATTTTAAAGAGAATAACCACTATATTTTTCGACCCAGATGACAGTTACTTCTCATTTTGGTCATCTCTTCCCATTAGGCAAATACCTGTTGGCATTAAGGCCATGGCTATAGTAATTTCTACTTAATAAATAAGGAACTGTTTTTAGAGGAATAAAAATAAATTAATATAAATATTCATAACAATTCTAGAACAAAAATCTTCTATGGCCTACTAGCTCTTTGACTGTGATTCAAAACAAAGAAAACATTGAATAGCAAGGACTGCTGTCTCAGTGTGACTGATACTGGGTATCTCTTTAACAATTAAAAAAATCTACGGGGCCATGTTATTCTGCTGAGGTTTTGGAGCCTAAGTTTATAGTAGATATATATATGTAGGAAGTGTGTTGATATACCCTTGTATTTTAATCTTTATTGTATTTTAAATCAGATGTAACAGGTATTATCTTAATAGGAATCACAGGTAGAATAGTGCTGAGTTACTAATAGCTGGAAAACCCTATTGATACCAGTTTTGACATTTTGTTGAAGCATGATGTCCAGTGCCTCTCTGCACTTAGTGTAGATAATGTAGCTATCAACATGTAATTTCAGTGAAATGGTGTATACAGTATGTGTAGCAGTGCATTAATTTAATTTAATTGGTTTCTATGTGTTGAGCCATAGTAGAAAGTTAGACTGTGTTTCGAAATTTTGTTCTACTTTCTGTTTTTCATTTGTATCTGGGTTTGTTTCTTTTTGGTCATTCAACTGATTAGGTTCTATAGCTTAGTAACGACTTTGTCTGTCTGTTGTGGAGTACCCAGTTCTGATAACATTCAGAATCGTGTATGCAGACAGCTTATTGTAAATATGTTCATTTTAGTTTTCAGCTATCTAACCAGTATGGTGTGTGTTAGAAGCTGCATGTGTGTAGTTCTCTGGCAGTGAGTGAAAGTGATCCCAGCATAGATTTCCTGCCTTGTGAATGCACTTGTTATTACACGTTAATGAATTAATGTTCACATAGAATGATAAGTTTTGTTTTCTTCTTGTTTGCTTGAAATGTTTGAACTCTTTATCACCAGAAGTTTAGTAAGTCACCGTTTAAATTGGCACAGTGAAAAAGGGGAAATCCATCTAACTGCATTCCTGTTGGATGCCCTGGCTGCTTTTGACTCTGTGCAACGTTCAGCCCTTAGTCACATCACGGCATCATAGGATCCCTCTGAGTCATTTCCAGTTTCTCCTTGACCACAGATGCCAGGAAAGCAGTGCAGTCCCACGGCTGTGACTGGGCAAGTCTGCAGGCAGCAAGGGGCTGCCAGTTCTCTTCAGAGTGCCTGAGAAGTCCAAGTAGGAACCTCTAATTCATCCCTTTAGTAGGAACAGTCTCTGAGAAAGATGAATACACTCATGGACAAAGGGGCACTGTTTCTTTCACTGTTAAAAAGGGATATTAACACTTATTGGAAAATAAATGCAAAACTAACAGCTTCTCAGACTACTGTTGTTGTTGTATAGGCCTGTTATTTACAGAACTACTATGTCTGATCATAAAACAGACATATGAACTACAAAGTCAGTGGCAAAAAAATCTTCTGAAATCAGGGCTGCAGTTCAGATCTATGAGAAAATAAGGCTGTGTAGAAAGAAGCAGCTGATTCATTCCTAGTACCCTGGACCTGGATCTCAGAAATGTAATCATCCCCTGTAAGCAGAAAGAAATAAAAATCAGGCCCCAAAGCACAGAGTCTATCTTGTTTGGTGAGTCCCATTATGATGCTTCAGGATGAATTGCATGCTGGAGTACTGAGTGCTGCCTATTCATCATCCCTTGCCCCTTCTTTAAGGTGACCAGGCATGAACTGGAATGTTTTGCGACCTTTCACGTAAAAAGGATTAAAAGGAAGAGGGATAAGGTTGGTCTTTTCTTTACACTCAAAAATTTCTGCAGATTTTGAAATTACATACTGTACAGAATCTATAGCACAGTTTGTTTAAAAATTAATGAATGCAGATGATTAAATTTCTCCCAACTCTGGGCTCTGTTCTTGTATATTGTAGTTGGAATGCCTTGTAGACTGATTCTATTTTTGTAGTTCAGATCCTTTCCTCTTTACAAGGATTGTTAGTCATTTGCTTTTAATGCTTTCTTACAGTGTGAACTGATTTCTGTAACTTTCATATATAAAACAAACTAGACATTCTTTCTATACTGGAAATATAGTCATGAATATAATATTTCACTAAGTGTTGTATCTCTTATGTACATACATCAATAAATGTTGATTCATAATTTTCATCTGTGAGTTTTAATTTCAGCCTGGGCTTAATATGGGAATGCTTTGCGTAGGAGTTTAAATAAAGCAGTCTGATGTGAAAGTATGTCTGTTCTGAAAACTACATTCAGGGTAGAAGATGGACCTGACTTTGCCAAAGCATTAGAAAACCTCACCCTTCACTGTATCCTCCAAATATTCTGGGATGCCGGCTGCAAATGAGCTCATTTCCCAAAAAGGCCAGGAACTCACTAGCTACAGTTCTTGGCAATGAAGCCTAGAGAAGTGAAAAGAGATGTTAGAGGAGTAGGAGAATACAAATCAGTGGTTGCAGTTGCTTTAGAAACCTACTTCCCTCCCCTGGCTACGAAAAAATAAGTCTCTTATTCATAGTCTTTAAAAAAAAAAAAAAAAAAAGGCCTGTAACGGAACTTCTGGAGTGTCCTGTAAAGAAATCAACCCTTATTTAACACATAAATTAAGAGATTATGGAGCAAACCATGGCCCTGTGGACTGGTAGTTGCTAAGTATGGAGAGAAAGTACCAACATTTATGCATACTTAAAGTAGCAAACGTTACAGAAATAGCCTAACTACCGTTGTGTGACAAAGACACATAACCGAAACCTCGGCTGTGAGGATTAGGAGTGTGCACAACCCTGGCCTTACTTCTTCTTAATCATCCATTTGACAAATTTCCAAAGAAATCCAGGCACGGCAGGAAGTGGCTTTGGCAGCACCTCAGCTGGCGATCTGCCCTCTTAGTCAGTAACGAACTAAGTCCTGATGCCGTGCTAGGAAGATCTTTGGGCAAAAAGTAAACCTGAGGCCCCAGCTATCTGCTGCCATTTTAATACCACATTGCCATTTTCTGCCAGAGGTAAAAATGCCTCGATCTGGCCTCATCAACAAGGGTTGTTAATAAATACATTCTGCTGATGTAAAATTCCCTGCTGAAGTTGGTTCGTGATCCCCCATCATTCACATATTTCATGTGGACTGTGTACATTCAAATTCCTTCCCTACAAGGTGGCTATTCTTCTGTTACACATTATGATAAAAGTTTAAAATGAAAGGTCTGACACTGACCCATGCAGGACCTTGTACAATCATATGAAGTTGTCCCTTCTGAAAATACACACCCCAAAGGTTGATTCTCTAAGCCCTTGCAAGCCCCTTGTGTATCCCTTTTTCTTCCTGTCCTCAGCCTTAGAGCAAAAGATTATTTCAGGAGTGTATCTTTGTATCTGAAATGTGTCCCTCTCTACAGGAAAGAATCTGCTAAAAGGTGTTATTAAAATGAGTCATTGACACATATTAAGAGATATTTCTGTATCTCCTCTCAGACATGACAGAAAAACTGTAATAATACACAGGGTTGTTAAATCTCAAAAAATCCTCTCCTTTGTATTAGATAGTACATGTAAACAGGACAAGGTTATGAAAGAAACAGGTGGCCCCAACGTTCAGTGCTCTAGGGGAAAAACATTAAAATTACACTCAGTTGGGCTAGAAAAAGTTATTTGCAGCAAGCACTTATCCTAGAAGAATGTACAAATACCCCAGCAGGGTTTAGTGCCATTTTGCTTCTGAAGCTGTGCAGAGCCCTGTGCAGGCACACAAAACTGAGGCAGCTTCACAGGCTTGGCAGGTGTCTGTCTGCTCTCTCACATGTACAGCATGCAACGAAAGCAGGAAGGAAAACAGACTGCATGCAAGATCAGGTCTTGTGGTTGTGGTGGCATCAGCAGAGCAGGCAGGTTCTGTGGTGATAAGTTTCTGTGTAGACAGATAAATTACAAAGCTGACTGCCACCTACCCAAACTCACAGGGACAGGATCTGAAGGAACAGGACCCCACACCGTTGACAATGCTTCTGTAGTATGAGTTCTTAGAAAAGCAACATAGGGTCTATTTTACACAGTGTTGTGCTCTTCATTCTCACTTGTGGCTGAACTAAAAAGGTTTGTTTTTCCTATACTCATTGTAAGACTAATCTATCTCCATTTGGCTGTTTTCTTACTGGGATGCAAGAAGGTTCTTCATGAATCACTGTCCCATGACCCATGGACACCACTTGAGAAATGCTGCTGTGGAGATGTGCAAGTAAGAAAAGCCATCTGAGTCCCAACTCTGTGAAGGGACAAGAAGAGGGACCAAGCTAGGAAATGCACTCAAAATTCATTCCATTGTTTCACTGAGGTTAGTGGTATTACCTGAATTGACAGTATCACACAAGCTTTATTTAGGAACCTTGTTTCTTCCATTTTTTACTGGTCTGTATCCTCTTCATGGGCAGGGGTGAACTCATCCTTCTTGAACAAAGGGCAATTTTGTTTTTTAAGTCACTAGCTGAACAAGCATCCTTACCTAGAGTTTATTTCAGACTTTCACTTGATTAATGAAAGATGAAAATGAACTACAAAAGAACTTCAGGGAAATACCCAGCAACTATGAACTCAACTCCACTGGTGAATCTGATGAACTACTGCTGCAAAACAAAACATGCTGAATTGAGTGGATGACTGTGAAACAGTTTTACAGTAAGGCAAACCCCATGAGCTTGCACACTAGGATACAGATAGACAGTATTTAGATGTATGTTGGCAATGCTTGAACAAAGCCAAAACATAGAATTATTTATGAATCTGAAAACTGAAAGGAACCCAAAATGCTTTGCCCAGGGATTCGCTCTGAGGCTCGTATCACTGACAGTTGTAGTCCACAGTGTGTGCAGGAGGCCTATTCTCTCCTTTTATCAGCTGAGATCACTGTGTCTCGATCATGAGGCTCAGCTGTGATGGTCTCATCTTAGATAAACTCATTCTACAGGTTCAGGCTGAAAGCTGCAGAAAATTGTCTCCCTGAGGTAGCTACAGTAAGGTGCTGCTAGAAATCTGCAGCAGCAGCCCTGAACCGGATGTTTGCTTTTGAAAAAGTAGGCTGATAAAAGATAGTGAATATAAACTCTTAAATTAAAAGACTGAAATTCCCATCATGAGGCAAAACCTTCCCAGTTTATTACTGTCTGTTCTGAGAAAAATGGAAGTGTGGAGTCTCGATTCATGCAAAGGAAAATGTGTTCACTGAAAATTACCTAAGCCTTTTTTTTTTTTTTTCAGATTAAACCAGGGGAAAAAACCCTTTTGAGTATGTGGTGCCAGAAGCTAGAAAATGTACACCAATGACTACAAGTAAATTTAGATTTAAAGCTAAAAACTCTGCTGCACCAGAGCCATTTGGTACCAAATGGTACCAAACCATTTATACAGTTCAACGTGGGACTATCAGAATGGGCATTAAAACCTACCCCGCCATAACATGACTGCCCGAGGCAAGGCTTTCAGATGCCAGGTACAAAATTTACAGCCTCCAGGGAAGTGGAAAATGCCTTATCACATCCTCCTCTGTCCTGAGTTGCTCAGGGAGTTAGAAGGACTTCAGGACAAACTCAGCAGACCTGAAAGTTGTTGGATGTACAGAGCCTCCACTGCCGATGAGCCATATGCTGATTTACCACTGCCAGCCTACATACCTCTAACTTTAGCTGTGCCTCAGCTTCACCACCAGAAGAAAGCAGCTGTTGAGCTAAATTCTAAGTTAAGTGGGTGTTTCAGTGAGGCTTTTTCTTAATATTCTAAATTGTGCTTGAAGGTTTTCCAATGGATGCTCTTAAATTTATGTCATCTTAGACTCCAATAGTCCTATTTTATTGTAAATTTGCACATACATTATTTTCTAATGGCAAACAAATTACTTGTAAGAATTGCATTTTAATACAAAGGGAGAGCTATATTATGCATTAGGCATGAAGAATGTTCCCCTCCCAAAAAAAAAATTGAAAAAAAAAAAGTAATTTTGCATAGTTAGATTTTGTCTGGGATATTAAAACTAGCTGAAGCTATGCCTGTTCCTGAAAGAAAACAATTCTTATTTGACAATCTTTGTGGACTTATTTTGATCCAAAACTTCATAATTTTTTTTTAAAGAAATCATAAAACTAAAGACATAAATCATAAAACTAAGAACATCAATGTTCAATGTCTAGCTTTTTGTGGCAGAGAATGTATGAAAGTAGGTTTCTTCCCCCAGCTCTTTAATCCAAAACCATTTTGCCTGCAGAGTAGGAAGTTTTAATAAAAAGTCTGAGACTCCTTGAAGGTGTCACTCAGAGAAAATCTTTCTCATTCTTGCTGGACCCATCCAGACAAAATTGAAAGAAGGCTGTGTTTAAAGCATATGTGAAGCTTTCACTGCCTCTGCTTTACTTGCACTATAACAATCATCAACTGTCTTGAGGTCAGGAGGGCTTCTTTGATCGTGGATTCGCTTCTTCAATTTCAGCTTTTAAAAAAACCTGTGCAGCAGGGCATTTGCCTTATGTGAAGATCCATATCAGTCCTGCACTTTCAAAACAGGAAGATAAGCAAGAAGCAAAATGTTCTCGAAATCTTGCCGTTGCTAACCTTGCTCAAACGGGTGAGAAAGGGAAGAAAAAAAGCAGTCTCTGTGCTGTAAAAAAGACACCATTACTCATCTTTGCTGAATTTGTGCTTTGCCTCTCACTCCTCACTGTCACAGCTGCTTGCTCGCAGCATGGTGTTGGTGGATGCCAAATGCAGCATGGCACAGCAATAATGAGAAATAAGCTACCAGGGGAAAATTATTCAAAATCAGTTTGCAAAGGAGGTGGTGAATGTAGATGATGACATGGAGGTGGGGGAGGTTCACAGGAAAAGGCTAATTCTTTTTTCCTTCTCAGAGCTGTGAAACATTCAAGTGCCAGAGGCCTGGGAGTGTTGAAGGTACTTTCCAAGTAGTAGTACAGAAATTTCACTGTCCCTTTACTTCCTTTCCCATCAGTTGTGTCCTCCCTCCACCCCTAATCCCCCAGAGCTCCACCTCCAAAACACTTTTTCACAATTCTTTCCACTCTTAAGGAACTGGACTTTTGTCATCCACTCCCACATAGCTGGAACTGCACCCAAGGGAACTGCCTTTTTCCTTCCACCTGTTTGTCCGTCTCCCTTCCACAGAGAAAAATTAGACAGTATCTGTGGTTACCGAAAGGACTAGTATTTGGATCATCAGATCTCTTGCAAAGACTCCAGTCTTTGGAGTCAAACTCTTGAATTGTTTAATAAAGACTAAGAAATAATTATTGTCTAATGGCCTAATATAACTTAAAATAAAGCCATTAACCGCTGACTTACAAAATATAAACAGTGTAAGCTGAGGCAGTACACAGCTTTCAGAGGATTTAATTTCTTTCCTTCATCTACAGAAAGAATAATTAGGACCAGCCCTGCCCAGAATGACATGTACTAAAGAGACACTTGGTAATTGTCTCCTAGTAATATTCCAGGCAACGTGCTTCAAAGTAATTAGTACAGAGGCTGTTATTGTTGAAAAGGGACACACAAAAGACATCCATATCATCTGAAAAACTGCAAAAGAACAATTTTGGAACTGATATTGTGGTAAGGGTTTAATATCCACATAGGTAGACATGACCCTTTCTAAGGGCTTCACAAAAATACAGATGCAACAATCACCCTTCATTGCTTCATGAAAAAAAACTATATTCTTATAAAACATAAAATCTCTCTTGAATGTGCCTACTACCTTAGATGGTATTTCCATGTTCTGGATTACATTTATTTGAAACTTTTCAAGGCAAAGGAATAACACAAGCTGATCACAGGGTCTGACCCTCCTCAGCATTTTTAGAAGAGATCCTCATACTTCCTAGGCACCAAGGATAGACCAAAACCCAATCTGTCTGTCAGCACATTGAAGGAAGGGCTGGATCTTGCTGGTTGCTATGCTCTCTAAATGCTGTTGATTCAATGAGCCAGGAATAGTCATGAGGATCTTACTGGGTTGATCTTAAATTGAATCAAGCTGTTGTCTGCTGCTGGGGGGAAGTTGAGTTGATCACCAACCCCCAGAGCATCTGTGGAGCTCATGGAAAGCTGGCAGAGCAGAAAAGGTCACACAGCATTCACCTTGGCCTGGCTTAGAATTTGCAAGCAGAAAAAATTATCACAAATACTCAGCATGACTATCCTGCTGAACAATTCTCTCCTACTAATAGCTGGTCTTACTGTTTATCCTCAGTGTGGAATCAAGTTTATTTTGGAAGCTTATTTTACAGTTCAATGTGTTTTTAGCAATACTATTTCTAGTTACAATTTAGAGATGATATTTTCTCTCATTCTGATTAATCTGTTAAATAAATATGCAAATATATCAAGTGCTCTGTATAAAAATACATACACACAACAAACAACCCCTCATATAATAAATCAAGATTAATAAAAATATGTACTATATTACACATATGAAACGTAGTTTGAAACTATAATGAAACAATTACACATGAATCACAAGACATAATCTAAAAAGAACCAGTATATATAAAATAATGGCATCGCCTCTGTAAAGACAACTTGAGCATCTCCCTATTTAAAAATATATAAAAAACCCAACCAGTGTTGTCTGTGCATTTATAGCTACTGAACATAAGGTAAATTAGGAAAAAGTCTGTGAGATTCTTCATTCAACATCTGTATAGGGAGATGAATAACATCACAAACTTTTTCTAAAAGAGAAATTTAGGCTTCAAGCTCTTTTCACTAAGGCCTATATTCAATTAGGATTTAAAGAGAGGAATAATTCTTACTCTGGATCTCCATACTTAGTGAAATGAGTACCTAACACCAGTTTAAACACAGCCTTCAACAGAACATTTTGATTTGTAATGACAAATAGAAAAGTTTGTTTAAAAACATTACAGGGATTAAACAAAAAACAATGCACTGTTCATAGATGAAATATGCTGACCTACATAAAGTCAGACAACATCCTATGTGTATTTTAAAACCTTTACTTGTCTTGGGACCTTTAGCCCAGGTGTAAATTGCCCTGAGAAGATCTGCCTGCAGATACCGGGGCACTGAGCACCTCAATGAAACACATGGGAAACTGCTGGAGGACTGTGACTCAACAGTCTTGTGCTTTATGTTCCAGTAAAGATGAGTGCGAGCTAAACTTAGTATTTAGCCAGCTCAGTACTCATCCTCCAAACTGTTTCAGATGGAGAACATAAAATAACACGTTTTAGCAGAACAGTTTCAAAGACAGATGCTACGGTCAGTGAACAGGAACACTTGCGTAACCCTGCTACAGGCCATCCCTATCCATCAGCTGACACAGACCACAGGTTGCAATTACTTAAATTGTTTTTGCTTCCATTTTCTTGGGGCAGCCCAATTAGAAGTTATCATTCTTCCTCCATTCCAAACTGCTTGCTTAAAAATAGCACAGACCACTGGTAGTAAATAAGGTTTTTTCCTGACAATTCATATCAATATAATGCACAGCATCATAGCTTAATACAAATACTTTACATAACAGACACAAAAGGACAAACCAACAGCATATAACAATGCAGCTCAGCTACTCTACTATATTACATGGCTGGGAGAGTTTCCTTTCATTTTCTTCGACCTTTTCTGTAGAATTTGAATTTCTAGTACCGATACACAAGCAGTGTTTCTTTTGGCATTTTTAAAAAGCAGATGGAAAAAATGTAGATTAAATAGAATTCTGAGGAAATTAGTGAGATCATAGAAAGAGAACTTTTAAAATATCAGGAAACTGGTATGACATAATAGTTATAGGGGAAACAATTTTCCTAGGCTCAGCATCTCCTAAGTAAAATGGAATAAAAATTAAAACATCTAAGATAGAGACCTATTCTTCAGGAATAAAATACTGTCACCTTCCCTAATGATCTCCAATTGCTTGATCTGTGCACGTGTGATAGAGCTGGGGTCATTTTGTTTCATTCATTATCTTAACTAACAGACTCATTAAAAACATGCACAAACCTGGACCAACGAATGAGGGAGGGAGAAGAGTAATGAATATCTCAAAAACTCAAGCATAATTGTACTGGTTGCTAGGATGATAAAGCATAGAATTTTATTATGTATCAGTTCATGTTTTCATCTCTTTATTACCCCTCCTGAGAAGACTTGTTGTATGCCCATAGTATCATTTAAAAATAGAGATAAATAAATTTTGTCCTTCTGGGTTTCTCTCATTGCAGACCAAGCCATACATAATTACAAAATGTCACTTTTTTGTTTACAGTGGCAGATTCTGAATGCATCCTCTGCTCTTCCTGGCTGGAAGGCATTTCTGAAGAATTCTGATGTTTCAGACATTATAGAGCATGCCTTTCAGGTTTAAACTTGATTCTTACTCTTGACATTTTTTTCTCACTTATTCTTGTATCATGGCAAGTTTAGTACCTTAAATGTCTCTAAAATGGAGTGACTGGATACTTCTTAAACTCCACACAGTGAAGACCTTCCATCTGGGGAATAATGACGTAAACTTGTATGCCTCCTAACATCCAGGACACAGTGAAAGTCCTCTGTGTAGGGACTGGGAACTGAGAGCACTATGCAACTCTTGGGGGTGTATTTCAGAAAGCACATGCCAATTTTTTAACTCTGGAAACGTTGTAAAATGATTAAAAAGGAATAAAACTTATTTTTATTTTCAAAAGACATCAGTAGCACAGTGCATCTGTGAATTTCTGTTCAAGTTCCACATGATTTTGATTTCCCCAGACCTGATCTACTTGGAGACATTGGCACCATTACACTCCAGTCTTCATGTCAAGCTCCTGATGATTTTGTGTTTCATTAACAGTCAGGAGTTCATCACATGCTTGTGTTCGGTCATTTGACTGTCCTTTATGAACCAAGTGCACCATTTCTTGTGATTTGCTGATGTCTCCATTTAATGCACTTGACTTCCTGTCCTCCACTGCCCCTTTCCCGTTGTTAATCACTAGCTTTTTCTTCTGCCCACATCTAGAAAGAAATAAAAATAAAATACTATTAACAGAGACTAACAGAAATAAGAAAAAAAAATTGAAGGTCAATACTTAGGAAAAGGTGATTGGAAACTAAACTTGTATCTGTCAGTGCAGACTTACACTATGCAAAGTGCAAAGTTTCTCCATATTGCATATTTTATTTTTAAAAGTATCCACCATTACATGCATAACATATGTCAGGAGCTCACTTTTTCAATTTTTACCTATTGTTCCTACATATAGCAATAACAATTCATTACTGAATGCTAGAATTTTTTTATAACCTTTCTATATATCCACATTTATGAACTTTGTATATATCCCACTATAAAGACAGTTTCTAAATCCAGACTTGGGACCGCACCTTTGAAAATGCAGGAGTTCTCGAGGGAGTTGAAAATCTGGATCAAGCTCTCACCTCATTATACAAAAAAACTCTTTTTTTTCTTTGTATTAGTGTGTCAATCCTAGAAGCCAAAAAGCAGCAAGGAAATATGGAGAACTACTGCTACTATCTGCAGCACAGTTCCTTATGATGTTAAGGTAGGACACAGGCACTGTGCCTTTAAAGTTACACTCGCTGCAGGGATGCACAGTAAACTTTAGATATAGCTCTGAATGAAATACACACACACACACACACACACACTCCTTTAGGAAGTCACCAGTCCAAAACTGATGCATGCTGGTCATCATGGGCTGAGTATTCTTCAAAGCAGTAAAAAGTGTACTAGTTACAGCTGTGAGATTTGCTTCAGACTGTTAAGATGATTCTGTGGCTACACAGCGTTGAATATCCTACTTTTCCTCAAGCAGCCTTATTTATGTAAACTGTATACACAAAGCACATCTCTCTTAAGAAGGACTGTCTCTGTTAAGTTGTACTTTTAAGCGGTTCTTCTTAAATGAAGCATATTTTGCCTGAATTACTAATTTAGCAGTTCAATTATACTATTATGCTTCAGAAATACTATATTTTTCATGCTTACTCCTTCATTTTCATAGGTGAGTGTTATTTTATCTGAAGTAGCTCAGTTCACTGTGCTAATGTTACACACACCCTTGGGAATGATTTCCTGCTCTGTAGCCATAAAATGCCGAAAGACACCAGCAAGGAGCTGTGGAGTTCCACAGCCTCTTCAAAGAGCAGCTCAGAGTGCTCCGCAACCAACAGACTAGGAAAAAATTTGCTCACTATTTCCTGAACAAAAATCTCCACGTACTATATGGTTACTACTCTGAATAAAAAAAAAAAAAAAAAAAAAAAAGTTCAAATTCAACCTTCCAGTAGCATTCAATAGTTACTCTATTAAAGGGCTCAATTTTAACATTCAAGCAGCAAAAAGCTGTTGAAGACAATTGAGATCTAACCTCAGAACAGCCCCCAAAGAAAAGAAAGAGGTAAGAACTTTATAGCCTATGCTTTAGCTCAGGGTTTTTTCAAATTTCCTGGCTAACTTTGCACAGATCACTGCACCTTTTCTTTGCTCAGCTTCTTCATCTGTAAAATAGAGTAAATAAAGCTATTGAGAGCTCTGATAGCTATGTTAGAATGTATCCTTGTGACTGCCAGCTGTGATACTGACTTTTGTTTGGAAGGAACAGATTAATCCTGTGATAGCAATTGTCCAATACAGCCCTCCACACTGTACACAGACAACACTGTTAATGGTGGAAGATTATACTCAGCTCATGCTGTGGTTGCTACTGTGTTCATCTCTCAGTTTTCTCTCTCAGTGAACAGGATTTTCCTATTAATAACTAACAAATAGAGAATAATCAATTTTCTGTGAAATTTCTACATACAGTTAATTTCCATTTCCAAGACCAAATGGTTTGTAAAGCTACTGACTTCACATGATTCCATGTGAGTGTGGAGGCTGCTGTGTGACCTGCGCAGGACACGGTCACCCCAAGTCACAGAGCGTCGCAGAGGATGCTCTTTCCTGTATTATGTTTTTCTACTCTTTGACCAAGCTTTGGAGCCTCTCAAGGAAGAAAAGAGTAATGCAGTTTGTTTTGAAAATGGGAAGGTGCAACCTTACCTTCTCCGACTGTTGACAGCAATGCAGACTGCAAGAATCAGTACAAGTGCCACAAGAGCAGCCACTATGATCAGCCATTCTGCAGGGAGAGATGAGGGAGGGGAGAAGAGCATGTTAACGTATCTCTTGTAGTTTTGCTATTTCAAAGAACTGCAAGAACAAAATCTCTTCTACTTTCCTTAAACCGTCAGACTGTTTTCCTGCTTTGCGTGAATGCTTGTTCATTTTACAGAATGTTTCTGTGTAAATCAAGTACATTTTCATCATTCAGCTACACACAGGCCAATTCAGATTAAATATCCCATCGTTGTTATCACCCATAAGTACTGCATTTTGGTGGGCATAGGCGAAGAGGAGATGTATCACTGACTTACTTCAAGAGCAAAAGAAAAGGCTTAGCATGACACACCCAGAAGAAGCAGGATGACTTTCAGTAGATTTTTAGTAAAGAAGGTTTCAAGACCTTCCCAGCAGCCTCTTCTCTGCTATCATTATAGCCCTACTACCATTACAGATGGAGGTCCTCCACAAAGAGCTAACTCCTTGATTTTGTTCGTTTGAAACAAGTCTCCCTTGTTTAACAAGACTCTTACACTTTATTTGAAACGAATTACTTCTTTTAATTAGTTAATTATTATTACTCTGTGGTGAAAAACTGATAAGCACTCTTTTTGTAGTATAGTCGTCTTATATCTCCCCTCAGTTTTCTCTGAAAATGATGAGTTCTCCAGAAGGTGCTTCAAAGGTTGCTTTTCCAAAATTTTCTGTGTGTTCTTCTCCATTTTTTTCCTGTGTGAGTGAGCAGTGCCTTGAACTGAACACAGAGCTGAGCTTAAGCTCTGGACTTGCTAGGTCTAAGTAGAATGGGATAATTACTTTCTCTGTTTTAAAAATTACTTTACTTTACTGCTAATATGTCCCAGAATATATTTGCATTCTTTTGCAAGTGTATCATAGTGTTGGCTTCTTTTTATTTTGTTTTATTCTGCAAGCTCTATTCTGCAACACTCGTCTCAGCTATCACGTTTACCGAACTGTATACAGTACTGTGCATAGATCTTTAACAAGTTTTTCCTGATTTCCTATCAATTTATAAAAATAATTTGAATCTTAATCCCTTGACCTCATTTTCACCTCTTATTTTAATTGATATGAATGCAATTCTGTACTTATATTTTTAAAACATATGACTTCAAAAACCTACCTGGTACACGGGCCGACCTTGGCTGTGAATCTATTTTTGTTGTGGCGGTCTCTCCAGGGAAAGTAGTGGATTCATAATGTCCCTTGTGTGGTCCTTCATTACCATATACACCAGAGGTAGAGCCTAAAGAAAAGAAAAAAAACCTATCCATTAGGCCAAATATGCTTAGTGAGCATTTAACAGCAAGGTACAAAGAATATGACTTTCACGATTAAAAAAACACATATTCTGGAAAGTTCATGCTTTTTTTTTTGCTTTTTTTTTTTTTTTTTTTTTTTTTTTTTTTTGGTGAGCCAAAATGTGATTATGATTGCCTAGAAATTTTCTAAAGAAAATGTAAAGACCTAAGTGTTGGTAACTTTTTAAAGAGGCTTTTGTCATCCAAAACATCTTGTCTGTTCCATGGGGAAAAGAGAATGAGAAAAGGAGAGAGAGAATTTTACTTTTTTATTAAACCTAAACTTTTTTATTTAAACCTAAAATGCCCAATATGGAGAAATTCTGAAACTATTAATTCTATTCTGACACAGCATAAAACTGAATGTTGAAACTCTAAGGGTTTCATTAAATAGAATGATAGTTCTCTGAATGGTTGTAAATGATCAGCAGAATATAGATACAGTAATTTCATTACTTCATTAGCACTACAAAAACCGTATTACAGATCTCCACCTCTTTGAATTCTTCTAGAGTCTTATAGAGTAAACTAAGTGCTGACTCTAATCAGCTGTAAAGTTCTTTTTCTTTAACACACATTGGAACTAATTTCTATCCAGCATTTCTGATCCCCTTTCCTAATAACAGCTGGTGAATACAAACCCAAGAAGAATGTTTGTCCCCTCTTGCTTTGCCAGCAAGCAGCTCACGAATCTTCCAGATGTTTTCACTATTTTTATTAACAGGAAACTTATTGACTGGTGTGTTGTTTGGTGCTGTCACAACAAAGGACAGAAAGGCAGTTGGACATTTATTAAAGTGTGTGTGCTTAGAGAACTGCTACATTTGCTTTCCCCCTGAGCACTGAGAAGAAGCAGGATTCAGTTGTGTACCCTGCTGTTCTGGCTCTGGGAAGGTGCTTGCAAGTGGTAGGGAGGGATCCTCAAAAGCTCTCTACATTTCATTTTGGTAACATACTAGAGTTTTTTTCTTTATGGTCACTTATTTTTCGGGTTACTTCAGTGGACTGATTTTTTATTCTGTGGACACTTGGACACTTAGTGTGATGTCAGACCACAGCTTAAACATAGCTGTAGAAAAAAGCAAGTGAAACAAAGTAGTATAGTGCATCAAACCACCCATCTGTTCAGCAAAAGCCTTTAACCGTAGTCTGCCAATACACTGAATACATGAATCTTTTCCATTCCATTACATCAATAGGGGGTAACACTACAAGTGAATGAACCATTCAATACATAATTTTTTTAATGAAAATGGTAATGTCCTAGTAATTCCCTTATATTGTGTTTTTAAAAATCACCATGAGAAAGTAAATGAAAAAAGACAAAGTTTTGAGACTTCTGCCAGGGCACTGACAATGAAAAGATTCAATGCAGATATTCACATTGAAACTTATCTTTGAACCAGTTCTTACATGTTCTACGTGCTCAAAACAGAAAGGTAGCAAAAATCTTTTCATAGTGTGTAATGCCTGCATGTAAAATTAAGGAGGAAGCTTGGATTAATTAAGTGAACAGGGCCCAGTGAAAGTCAAGTAATGAGTTTGGTATAGTAGGAAACCATTATGAAAAACAGATTTATCTTTCCAATAAAATTCTATCGAATACATATTTTGCATTTATACTGATACACCTATGTCAAAATAACCAGACAATTTTTTGACAGAGTTGATTTTACTGGTCTTATACAAAATTTTGGAAAAAAAAAATAGCAGGCCACATTCCATCTCACAATGTATTAATTAATTTATTAATAACAGAATTATCTTTAAAGTGTTTGCTGTATAATGCTGTAAAAGCATAGGTACATAATCTCGCTTATGTGTGAAGAATGTCCACAGAGCATTGGCCAAATTCTACCCTGGAATGGTTCCACTAACTTCCAAGAAAGTGCATGAAAACACTGTTTGGATTAGCAGCTTTTGGAAAAGAAAAAACAAAAATCCCCTACTGTTAGGATGATTAATTATATGGAAACTACATTTGGAAACAAGGAAAAGTCCCTTAACTTTGCATACAATTAGCATGTGACCACACACAAAAAAACCCAAAGGCTACATGTAGTATAATAACAAACATTGTTATTGTTAAATGCACTAACTTTATCAGAAGAATAACCCTTAAAAAAAAAAAAAAAGCTGTTCTCAAATGAAATGTCTGTTACAGCCCAGTAACAGTAAAGAAAGGCAAAATGTTATCATGAATGTATGGGCATGAGGAGAAAGTTTAGGCTTCTTCACTTCAACAGTTGCATTCACATATTGATAACACAAGGTTATTTGCAAACAGCTATTTACAGCCTTTTAGTAAGTCCTTTTAGTAGGAAGAGAGATCCTCCATGACATCTTATCAGAAGGTTCTATACAGTAAAAACTCCAAAAGGAAATCATGCTAATGGCAACAATTTACAATTATGGTTAGTACACATGGGTTTGGACAATAGCTGTTGTCCACAATAATAACTTACTGATGGATAAATTAAAATGTTTATAATTCACTATTCTTACTAGTAGTAAGAGGGGTCTGCAAGCAGTTAAGATGGTCTTCAGCGTCTGGAAGAATTGCAGGTATCCAACTGACATGGGAATCATCTGTGGTGTTCGCTTGTTCACTTTCCCTTCCAGGTGGAGTGCCAGGTGCCAGTGGCTCCTTGGTTGCTCTTTCTTGCTTAACATCCTCCACAGACTCTGTGACGGTGCCATGATCGGCTTTAAAACGGAGCACTCACAAAACCACCACCCATATTGTTTCCACATTGTATTTCCACATTGCACCACAGCAAGCCAGAAAGCACGTCCACCTTCCTCGTTCAAAGCACAGAAGCAGGAGAGAAGACATGAAGGCCCCTCCTTCTTCTTCCACTCTGCCACTGGCTTCTGAGAGACCACTAACCACCATATCTATGCTCACCATGTTGGAGCAAGACATTGGCTACATGTACAGATCCCAGTGACACATGGAGAGGGGAGACCTTCAGGAGAAGAGACCACAGCAGCAACAACCTGACCATGTAACTCAGGAGTGAGAGGCCATACTGCAGCCAGACTTGTGTCAGTCTTTCCTGGCAATCCAGAGGTGAGGAGAAGTAAGAAATTGATGGCAGAATATATAGAATGTAATTCTTCTATGATTGCATGGCATTCACCACTGGAACATCTCTATGATGGTGCTGCTGCTGAGTCGCAGGAGCAAGTCATCTGATTAACCTACCAGAGCACCTCCACCACACCAATCATGGTGCCAAAGCATATCAAGCCTGATCCCACTGATGCACAAGAAAGGAAGACAAGGCCAGGGATTCAGAATCACCAAAGTGCATGTCTTGCAGAACATTTAGCAGGTCACCCAAAAACATGCTCCGGCAAAGGACAGAAACCACCATGTACACCAGTAGAGTCCCTCACACCTTGTCCACAGAGCCTATCACAGATTTTTGCACTGCAAGTCCACACTAAGAATGTAGATCCCCAGGATGAGAAAGATAGGGTAAGGAGTCAACTTCAGAAGCAATAATGTCTCATTTCACACAAGCATGAGAAATGAGTATGATCCATTATTCTTACTGGTACCTATCAGAGTAGAGCCATTACCATCTTTGATTATACTGGCTGTGGTCCTGTGGAGCACTTCACCCCTGGGGGCATCTGTGGGATTTGTGATGCCTTCAGAGCCCTGTCCTGATTCATTATCTGAAGGCAGAGGTGGTTCAGTTGGGTCTTTGTGGTGGGCATCATCGGGAGAGGCAACAGCGGTTACCACGACGCGAGTTGCCCATGTTTCCTGGGTTATATCTTCTGGTACCAGAACATCAGTGGAGGCTGTGACTGTTGTGATGATGGCTAAGTTAACTTCAAAGACATTTTAAAAATCCTACCTCACAAATTTTTCCCTCTTAATTTAATTTAGCAATCTCTAGTCTTTTATTTATTCGCTGATGTAGAATATGTAGTGAGAAGAAAAAAAAACAAAACCCACAAGCAAAGAATGTCTTTTGTATATGTCACGTTTTTTGGTTTGTCTGTTCCTTCACTAACACCCTAATAATAAAGTTTATATCAATTTAAAATTATACTACTGAAAGTTAATGTCACTAAGCAAAATCATAAACTGAAATATGCATTAATAAACAATGCAGCCTTAAGTGTTAAGTTTTAAGTTTTGAAAATACCTCAAAACTACTTAGAAGGGTGAAAATAGTAATATTATTTTCATAATAAGTATAAGAATTCCTGTTGTTACAAAGGAATTATATTAGAATGACTAAATTTAAAACATTTTTAAAAATTGCTAAATCACACTTGCTTTTTCATATTTGCAACTGATCTGTAAAACCACATTAGCTTAACAAACAATGAACTGAGGAGCTTTACCAAATCCCCTTCATATTTAGAAAACAGGAGTAGAGGGTAGAGAATACAATTATATTTTAATCCACAGACTGTGTTTTAATTCACACAATCTTTAGCTTTCATTGTTCTTTGGCAAATTCTAAATGTTGCAGACTAAATAATTCTGATGAAAATGAGTTTTGAAGAAGAAAAGGGAAGTATAAATGCTAATTTTTCCTTTGAATTTCTTTTTTAGAAAATGTAAGAAAGATGTAAAAAGTTCCAAAGTACTATGATGTCATAAAAATAAATAATATTACATCGTATTATATAAAAAATCAGTATTTTGAACTGGGATAATTTTAACTGGGTAATATGAAAGTGCTTAGGAAATAAAGTTAGAACCTTGCAAAACTGCATGAACAAACTCCAGTAAATTATTTCAAATTTTACTGTATTAAGAAAATATGTGGAAATATCAAGACCAGGAAAAGTAAGACAGGAAAAGCTATATTTAGGTTTATGATTTATTTACACTACTGCCCATTTCCACAAAGCAATTGCTTTCTCAGTATCCCCATCTACTAAAAATAAACCTGAGAAAAGTCAGGGGACATAAGATACAGGGCATGCAGGGGAAAAATATCCTTAAATAGGTAGCAATTCTTGTTGGGATATTCACGTGCAACAAAATCATAAAAACATTTGCACTGCAAATTCACAACAAGAATGCAGATGAGAAAGACAGGGAAACAAGTTAAGTTTCAGAAGAAATAATGCCTCATTTCCCACAGGCATGAGAAATGAGTATGATTCATTATTCTTACTGGTACCTATCAGAGGAGAGTCATAACCATCTTTGATTATACTGGCTGTGGTCTTGTGGAGGACTTCATCCTCTGGGGTATCTGTGGGATTCCTGATGCCTTCAGTGCCCTGTCCTGGTTCATTATCTGAAGGCAGAGGTGCTTCAGTTGGGTCTTTGTGGTGGGCATCATCAGGAGAGGCAACAGCTGTTATGATGGTTAATAACAGATGACTTAAATATAGATTATTTAATCAGATGTGAATCCCATCTGTGGGCTGCTGTGGCCTTCCCATTCCCATCTCATTCAAGTCTCCTGTTCACCTTAAACCACTGTTACCCTTTTCTCAACTCAAAAAGATAAGAGAAGAGAGACCTGTCCTGTACAGGACAACCACTGCTCTCTCAAGGTTTTGAAGAGACATTTTCATTTGCTATTCTTGTCCACTTTTTTACTTAATAAAAAATATCCCCAAGGACAGTGGACAAAGAGACATAGAGACAGCAGTCACGAGGATTCCCTGACCTGTATCCCAGGCTGACTACAGAGCCACAACTTCCGGGACACTGCCATGTGCTGTTACAGCATGTTTTACATTGCAGGTATCAATACTGACAGTAAAGAACCCTTCCTACAGGCACTGTACAAAGTTACTCAAGACACTGTGAGTGGTGACAAGTTATAATTCATTGTCCTTACTAGTAGTAAGAGGGGTCTGCAAGCGGTTAAGATGGTCTTCAGCGTCTGGAAGAATTGCAGGTATCCAACTGACATGGGAACCATCTGTGGTGTTCGCTTGTTCACTTTCCCTTCCAGGTGGAGTGCCAGCTGCCAGTGGCTCCTTGGTTGCTCTCTCTCGGTTAACATCCTCCACAGACTCTGTGACGGTGCCATGATCGGCTTTAAAACGGAGCACTCACAAAACCACCACCCATATTGTTTCCACATTGTATTTCCACATTGCACCACAGCAAGCCAGAAAGCACGTCCACCTTCCTCGTTCAAAGCACAGAAGCAGGAGAGAAGACATGAAGGCCCCTCCTTCTTCTTCCACCCTGCCACTGGCTTCTGAGAGACCATTAACCACCATATCTATGCTCACCATGTTGGAGCAAGACATTGGCTACATGTACAGATCCCAGTGACAATCTTCAGGAGGAGAGACCAGATCATGTTTTTAGCACATTATTTTGATGTTATGAATAGCATGTTATATGAGATTGCATCATGATGTTGTGTCATGCCAGTTTTGTAAATTCCTTTCTCTCATCATTCTGTGAACCATAGGGACAAATATTTTGATAAAATCTATGAAAAGAACAACACTATTTCCCCAGATGAACATTCACAAATTAAATGCATTAACCTGTTGATGTACAAATATACATAGGTATGAATTCGACTTTAAGATAAAGACAGTCTGGCAACACGAACTAACATAACTCATGTAATGATCTCGATGCAATTTCACAGCCAGGCTTCACCAAGGAATGGAAAGTACTAAAAGTGGCGTTGGCAAGAAAAGAACTATTGTTTTATACAGAGCTAAAATAGAACCCTTTTGTCTCACCACCATCCAGATGGAGCGCAGAGAAAACTAGTAATTCTACAACTTATGTTGTTATTTTAAGAGATTAGTAATTACCCCTGCCTACAAGTTCATGCAGTATATTTCCAGGACAGGTCATTTGAGAGGCAGAAGTGATGCAGTATACATAACTGACATTATTATTATTACCTGTAGTGGAAGAATCTTTTTCATGATTGTTCTCTCTGGAAGGAATAGTTCTGTCCGTTATAGCAGGCCGTGTTGCATAGTCCTCTCTGTTGTCCCAACCTGGATATACCCATGGGTCTTGCACGGAGGTGGAGACCACAGCTGTTATGATGATGGTGAAGCAATTATGAACTCAGTATATAAAGATCCATTTCTCATATTATTCTCCTCTTCGGTTCTTGTCTCTATGACAGGCCTTGCTCACATGTCTACTACATTTAATGGCAAAGAGAAGTAAAGTAGATTTGCTTCTCATCCTGGTTTATGTTTAGAAAAGTGCCTACTGTCATCAGTAAGACCAACTCCTTCCTCAAACCAAACATATGTTTTTCAGAATCAAGGTATCTTACTGTTTTTCAAAAGTATTTCTCTGAATCTTGCCGCTGACTTTGTTTTGGCTGAATATCAAACCAATAGCCACTGATTCAGAATTAAGAACCTCAAAGCTAGAAACAACTGCAAGGATATGACCCATCAGTAAGACTTTATTCACAGAATTTGAGTGCATTGACTAGATCCAATTTTTTTGCCTTTGAAATGTCACTGCTTTATTAGTTGCAGCATCTCCAGGAAAACAGACAAGGGGAATGTTAGCATCTCCCCCCCATGACAAATGGGAATGTTAGCATATGCTGCAGATTTGTCAACAAGTGCACATACTAGATAAGACAGCATTCAACTGGAGAATATTTGATATTGCAGTTATTTAGAAAAAACTTATCCATATCAACCAATATGTAGTTTTTATTAGATAGTCACAGCAAAAGAGTACCCAAATCTTACAGGAAGCATAACCCTCTTTAGCCCCTTCATTTCAATAAGAAATTTGCCACAGTGTGTTACAATTTTAATTGCAACTAGGCCATTACATATTGCTATAGTAGTGTAGTATAATGTAGTGTAGTGTAGTATAGTACAGTGTAGTGTGGTAAAGTAGGGCACAGTACAGGGTTTACATAGATATCTCTACCTCATATTGCATTGTACTGCATCACCAGATTTTTTAAGGACAATGATGACGTGACTGGGCTTGATGTCTTAAAGGAATGTGGACTTAGGCACTACTGAAACAGAGAGCTACACAAAACTTTTGCTAATAAGATTCCATTTAGTTGAATAAATAGAAACAGCATCTAAATTATGTTTGTGATATGCTTCTCTTCATAGTCCTGTATTTAATAATCTGCAACAGTAGATGACTGTTGGCAGTACATCTGTCATTAACTAGTAAGCTTGGTATACTCACAGGAACTATATATATATATATATATATATAAACTAATATATGCCAATTTTCAGTTACTAGCTTTAAAGTATAATTTGGTCTTTTATGTTTCAATTGATTCAAAGAATGGAAGATGGATGCCTTTTTCTTATTCTATGCTGTGCTTTGTTTTCTTTCCTTCATCACCAGTACCATACTGTCATAGTTCGAAAGTGAGGTGAGTAGACATTTTAGATATTTTTTTTTTTAGATATAATTGCCATATGAACAAAAAAAAAAATCCCAGTCCGATAATGACTTGCAACAGGGGAGTGAACACAGCTCTCAATGAATGAAATATACAACAGACAGTATTAAACCTTCTGTGTTTCCTACAAATAAAACCCTGCTAGACAGTTAGTTAAAAGCTTGTGACTGCATGATACACAACACAAAATGTAGGAGAAAATTATGGGAGATTTCAATTCTAGAGGTCTTGACCTGCAAGCCAAATAGAAGAGAAAGAAACACCCAGGGACAGGTCTGAAGAATAATTAAAAAATAAAATTATTTTTTAATAATTAAAAAATAATATAACGTCAGAATTTCTCAGGGCCTGTCCTATGGCATCAGAATGCAAAAACTATTGATAAATAAAAAATATTAAAAGTAAATCCTTAGGAAGCCCTGATAATTTCCTAAAATGTGACCTGTAATATTACCTGTATGAGAAGATTCCTTTTCAAAATAATTTTCACCTGCAACAGTAAATTGATGTTGTTCAGTACTCGCCGTGGTATTTGCAGGATTTTGTTCTTGACTGATCCCTCCAGAATGAACGCTGTGTGATAGTGGATGTTGGGTTGGTCCTTGATGTTTTTCATTTTCATTTGTAACTAGTGCTGATAAGATGATGATTGAATCAATAATGATCAAAATACCCAACATCAGTCATATCATTCTCATATCATGGTTTAATAACAAAGGTGCCTGGCTTTTGCATTTTGGCTTTTTCTTGTTGTTGCATATGATGTGAAATGAAAGATGAAAGAAGAAGTAGTCCTTTGGAAACCCTATGACACAAACCCATCACCAGGATCAGAAGAAGATTTAAGCAGGCTAGAAAGGATCCCAGTGACCAATGGAAGAGAAGGATATTGGAGAAGCAGCAGAGGAACACACAGAAACCACAGTTTACACCTCTATTTCATTATTCATGAATACTAACGTAACTGTTGAGTCTGTGTATTCTGGGGTTTTAAAGCGAAAATATGGATGAACTTTCTCTTTTAAGTAAATATCTCAATTACACAATTACAAAGCTGGCTCCAAGGAAATTGCAATTTCTTCTGAGACTGGAAAGATGAAATAAGTAGGTTCATATATTCAAAGCTGATAACCATAATTATTTTGAACTAAAAAAATAATTAAAGCTCTGATCAATAAAATAAATTCATTGCTCACTCTTTAATTTGCTCTTGCTTACACAGCATAAGATGCAGTCAGAAAGCAGCTGAAGTACCACCACCATAAGAGAGGTTTTCTATTGAACATTGACAGGTTTGGAAAAGATACATCAGAAAACCTAAGATGAGTACTAGAACTCAGCTGGAAATATATTTGCCTTAGGTATCAAACATTTCCATGAGTGGCATATTAAAAGTAAAGCAAAGGTCCTTAATCAGAGTATGCATAGAATGAGCTGGACTTGTTATATAGGCTGAGAAACCAGCTAGAGAGACCTATGCTACTTCCCAAAATGAGAAAAACTGGAGAAGTACTAATTTATGCATTCAGGCAATGAAATATTCATATAGAGAGTACTCATGAAAATGTAATCCATTCTTTTTAAATTAAACCTAATACATCTATATTATCTTATTAAAACAAGAGTTAATATTAACTAATGTATGAATACAACTGATCTAAAAACATGTCACAAATGAAAGTTACCACAAAAATTATTTCTGGGTGATTACAGAACTTGTTCTAATCACAATTGTATAAACCTTTGCTGTTTGAAACAAGCTCAGAAACAGAAAGACACAGCAAAAATAGCTTGAGAATGCACTCTGTAAGACTTTGCCTATGGAAGCTTTTAGCTTTGAATGCTTTGGTATCTCAGTTGGTTACTGGCACTAGCACTGGTGGCAAAATGTTCACATCCATCTGGAGGTAGTATATATCCTTTGGAGGAAAATTTCATGTTTTTGAAACACTAGCTCCCTTTTTTGTCTTTTGTCTTCAGATTTTACAACTGAAAATTTTGACATGGAAAAAGGGATTTTTTTTTTTTCCCACCAAGGTGGGTCACCAGAGGTTACAGTCTGCTCAGTTCTATTATACTACTGGCAGTGCAAATTTAAAAATACTAGAAATGTGAGGCAAATGGGCAATTAACTAACTTTAGATGCAAAAGATAGACCTGTAATGACAGATAGATGACACCTCTGAGGGCTCTAGTACAAATAATGTAAAGGCATTACACTGAACTGAGGCTAATGGCATGGGAATTACGAACAGCTGCACCATGAGTGTTGCACTTATGTCACAAATCTAAATATTATCTGAAATGCTTGGTTCTTTACCCCTGCTAGAAGAGCTAGGATACTGTTCCTCTTCATCTGTAAAGGTGGGATTCCAATGACCTTGTGTGGAGACTTCCAGAAGCGTTTCGTGTTGTGAGTCCACAGCTGTTGGGACAATGGAGGATTGAATGCTGACTATGCTCTAAGTCTACCATTGTTCATGTGTGCCATAAAGGTGATGGAAAATGGATATTCATCCTAACTATAGCCTCTCTACTCTTTTTATCAAATCCCTTTACAACAAACCAGTTGTTCTTTTCTTCACATTGGATAGACGCACATTTTCCCAAGAAGAATGGGGAAAACAAGCAACAGAAGAATAATGTACAGCAGAAGTAATGCAAAACCATTACAGCAGTTACAGACATTTAAACTCACATTTGATGAATAATGCCAGACCTAAGGAACATGGTAAATGTCTCAATATATGTAAAACATGCTTGCTAAGAACCCAAGAAGTACTCAAAATGTACCATGCCAGAATATCCACCACTGAGCTGAAAAGTGATGAACACCAAAAAACTGATAGCGCCTTGACAACCACTAGGACACCACTATTAGTCAAGAAAGTTATAATGCAATTAAAAAGATGAAATAAACCTTCCACAAGAGTCTATGATCAGAGACTGTATACACTTTCCCATGCAGCATGCAGACACCACTAGGCCACAGAAAGTATTTGGAATGCAATACACCAGTGGAATAAGTTACCAATGCAGAGTCTCAAAGATAAACAAATTAACACCAGAAACACCAAAACATAGGCAAAATAATGAAAAGCCCCAAAGCAAGATGATGTGCTGATTTTTTAATTTCTTCTAAAAGCAAAGGCCATTACTGAACTATCTCCAGAAAAATAAAATGCTTATAAACAGTGATTTATAAACACTGCTGAGTAAATAAGAGCACAGACAACAGACACATTAAGATGTACTTAAATTAAATAAAATTACAGAAATAGAACAGATTGTTATCTTTGTACAAATAAGAGCATTACAGTATAGTCATTAATGGCAACTCCTATGTTACAAAACTCCCAAGGGCTGGGGCCATTCCCTGGTCATAAAGTCAAGTACCAGAGTGTATGCTTCAGTGACACACAGAACATTTGGCTTTTATGTTCACATGTGGTGGTTTTCCGGTTTTCAGAAAAAAAATTATTTCAGGTATGGATGGCTTTTAAATTAAAAAAGAGTTATCAGATGATGACTGTGGGACTATTTGTATCAGAAAAAATAAAGCTATGAATTAAAATATCTTCTTTGTGGTATTGGATCATGCCTAGACATCAGAGATCACAAAACAAAGGAGGTGATGTTAGAAGACAGTATGGAAAGAGTGTAGAAGGTTGCAAATATGAGACCATTTTGTCAACAATTCCCAATGCAAAAGGCACTTGGAGTTTGGCCTCCTCAAATTATGCTTGAACATCTCCTTCCACAGACAGGGAGTCTGGTATTAAATAGTTGTAGATTATACATAGCATGAACTAGAATTATTTTAACACTTCAAAAAAGTTAATAGAAAGAAATGAAAGCTTTTTTCTTCTTGGAAAATCAAGAGTGAATGAAAACATTTGAATAGGGATGAAAATGAGGTGGTAATTTTAAGCAGTGATAGAAGAGATATTACTTTTATCAATATGGAGCTCAGACAATTTTTCCAATCACAAAAGAGATATTTCTGAAGGAACAGATAATGAAGAGATCGTCCAATTTTCACATAATATGTGTGTGGCAAAGGAGGAGGAACATCAGGTATGAAAGGAAATATGAACAAAGAAACCATCCAAAGAGAAAGCGAGTTCCTTACTCGTGCTTGGAGCAGTCTCATCCTTGGCCACGCTCCTGCCCCAGCCAGGAAACAGTGTTGGGTACATCATCTCCTCTGAAGAGTCTTCATCATCTGAACCATTGCCACTGGAGGTCACATCTGCTGTGATGATGTTAAATCTGCCATGAAGCCCTAACTCACAAGGCCTTCTGCTGACAGCAGTTAGGCTTTCCTGTCTTCCCTACATGCAGCCTTACAATAACAGAGGAGAATATAAAGAACTGTGCTTCCCATGGTCCATATCCTCCTGGCCTTTTCACTCAGAAGGGATTCACCACTTTGCCATGGCCCTGATGAAGCTCCCAGTGTGGTACTCTTTGCCCACTCAAAGCACTAACCATACTCTGCCCTCTTCAGCCCCCAATAAAAATGCCCTCTTAGCATGACATTCTTTACCCTTGGTTGCCTGTGTGGCTTCTTGTGTCTTCTCTCCAGGATTTGACCACCACCAGTGGTCTGGAAACAGGTTCCACCAAGCTTGGGTGGTGGATTTCTCTAGGTTGTCATGACGAGGCCCTGGAGCTGTTAGGACATGGTTCATTTAACCAAGATCTTGTTATTATTTCTTGAGAAGCACTTTTCCTCCAGGAAAGTCAAGTCCACTAGCACCAGCACCCTGAGCACCCTCATGCCACAGAGACCGATGTGAGTGCAAGGTGAATGTATGAATCCACGGCATCATTACATTCCTCAAACACATCGCCAGATGCAAGCACTTTTGGCAGTCCCAGGAAAGAACACAGGCCCTTGAAAGGAGACATCAAAAAGCCCTGTGGGTTTTCTCCAGCCCTTCACATGCCATAAGCTCCTCACAGGCTTTGACAGCAGGACAGAGTAGACAGCCTTAGACTCCAGAACGAGAAACATCCACCAAGATGACATAATATCACATACAAAAGGTGAAAGAAGTATCCATGTCAGGCAAAAAGATCACCCACACCATGCTTATCACAGATAAGCATGTCCAGAGAAGCAAACTGTTCTTCTACTGACAATCCCGTGAAGCCAATGCTGTCAGAGACCTGGGCTCAGAACTGCAGCTATTCCACTGAAAGGACACATGCACTCCCCTTGGCCTGATGCTGTCAGCTAAATCCACACCAGAAACACTTTTCAGAGTAGGCATCAGCATAGCATGAAGAGAGAGAGATGCAGCTTTATTCCTATCACATGACCAATGCACAATATTTTCTCAGATCAGAGCATATCAAATTGTAAATTCCAGAGGTCTGTGACAGACATTTACATATGGAAAGAGATTTCTGCTTAGAAAAATCAGAGGAATCTACAGCATTTCCTTCCACTGTGCTGGGCAAGCCAAGTGGGTATTGCAGTGCAAACAGAAATAAATGTGCCTCTTGTAAGAGTGGAAATTCCCTCTGAAGAGAAATCAGTCCTTGAGATACAAAAACCAACAAGGAAAGTCCACAAATCAAATGTGGTCAAGACAGCAATCCAAGAAGCATTGGAATGTGGTGCTTTTAAGTTTATGGACCACAAATGATTTAAATGGGTTTTTCATGTGGCATGGGAGAGGTGTTTGAAGAAGAGCTCATGAGAAGAGAATCCAGTTTTCACATAATATGTGTGTGGCAAAGGAGGAGGAACATCAGGTATGAAAGGAAAATGAACAAAGAAACCATCCAAAGAGAAAGCGAGTTCCTTACTCGTGCTTGGAGCAGTCTCATCCTTGGCCACGCTCCTGCCCCAGCCAGGAAACAGTGTTGGGTACATCATCTCCTCTGAAGAGTCTTCATCATCTGAACCATTGCCACTGGAGGTCACATCTGCTGTGATGATGTTAAATCTGCCATGAAGCCCTAACTCACAAGGCCTTCTGCTGACAGCAGTTAGGCTTTCCTGTCTTCCCTACATGCAGCCTTACAATAACAGAGGAGAATATAAAGAACTGTGCTTCCCATGGTCCATATTCTCCTGGCCTTTTCATTCAGAAGGGATTCACCACTTTGCCATGGCCCTGATAAAGCTCCCAGTGTGGTACTCTTTGCCCACTCAAAGCACTAACCATACTCTGCCCTCTTCAGCCCCCAATAAAAATGCCCTCTTAGCATGACATTCTTTACCCTTGGTTGCCTGTGTGGCTTCTTGTGTCTTCTCTCCAGGATTTGACCACCACCAGTGGTCTGGAAACAGGTTCCACCAAGCTTGGGTGGTGGATTTCTCTAGGTTGTCATGACGAGGCCCTGGAGCTGTTAGGACATGGTTCATTTAACCAAGATCTTGTTATTATTTCTTGAGAAGCACTTTTCCTCCAGGAAAGTCAAGTCCACTAGCACCAGCACCCTGAGCACCCTCATGCCACAGAGACCGATGTGAGTGCAAGGTGAATGTATGAATCCACGGCATCATTACATTCCTCAAACACATCGCCAGATGCAAGCACTTTTGGCAGTCCCAGGAAAGAACACAGGCCCTTGAAAGGAGACATCAAAAAGCCCTGTGGGCTTTCTCCAGCCCTTCACATGCCATAAGCTCCTCACAGGCTTTGACAGCAGGACAGAGTAGACAGCCTTAGACTCCAGAACGAGAAACATCCACCAAGATGACATAATATCACATACTAAAGGTGAAAGAAGTATCCATGTCAGGCAAAAAGATCACCCACAGATAAGCATGTCCAGAGAAGCAAACTGTTCTTCTGACAATCCCGTGAAGCCAATGCTGTCAGAGACCTGGGCTCAGAACTGCAGCTATTCCACTGAAAGGACACATGCACTCCCTTGGCCTGATGCTGTCAGCTAAATCCACACCAGAAACACTTTTCAGAGTAGGCATCAGCATAGCGTGAAGAGAGAGAGATGCAGCTTTATTCCTATCACATGACCAATGCACAATATTTTCTCAGATCAGAGCATATCAAATCATAAATTCCAGAGGTCCGTGACAGACATTTACATATGGAAAGAGATTTCTGCTTAGAAAAATTAGAGGAATCTACAGAGTTTTCATCCATTGAGGTAGGTAAATTAAACATAACAAAATCAGTGACAGTTATTGTTTGAGTAGGTTGCTCTGATAACTTAGAAGGGTATTTCATTGATCAGTAACAGAATTTTACATCTGACTCATGGCACACCTACAGATGAATCATAATTTGACAGTAGTAAAGAAACTTTTTTCATCCAGAAGAGGAAGTCGATGGCAAAGTGCTGAGTGTATTAATCTGGACCATTAACTGGATGGAGAACATCACCAACAATATACAAATCCAGAGAAATGCCAAAAGGGTATTGTCTGAAGAACAAGGAGCTGTGAATATTGTTAATTTCAAACCCATAGCAAAGAAGTTTTTAAATTATGCCAGATACCTTTTCACAAAACTTTAAACTTTACAAATGGTGTGTAATATAGGTGGAGAGACACCAGTTTTGTTTCTCACTTTAACACACTATAGAATTAGATAGATGTATTTTTGACCATCTGTCTGAAGATACACAACAAATAGTTTTCTTTACTTATTTCTTAATTTTATACTTTCCTGCCTGTGGGATTTTTCCCTGGGAAATCAAACTGGATACTCCAATGAGCCTGCACTGGTGTGCAACCTAAATGGCAGATATTGTGGTGCAGCTTCATCTTCTTTTTTTGATTGTTCTCCCTGTAACTTTCTCCTACACTACTGAATATTTGATGACTCCCCACAGAGATGCATAGCTTATACTTAACTTCTTTCTGAAAGGAGTGCTAAGTTATTGATTCCTTTGTAATGAATCAATATAAAATTAAACTAACTGCGTCTCTTTGGCTTCAAAGTGATGTTGCTGATGTTGCTAAATCTATCAGAAAAGCCCAGGTGCATTACTTTCATAATTTTTTTTTTCCAGAGAACCAATCTAGCAATCCTAAACCAGTAAACAATCATGCCAATGCTATCACTTCTGTGATACACATATATCAATACTGACATATTTTATTACATTGCTTTATAGTTATTTTGATCTTTTAAAATCTTAAATATCCTGGTTATCCCTCTGTAAAATAGTCATGCCCATGAGAGAGAACTGTTAGCAACAGGAAGGGGCATATATATCATCTAGAATCAATACATTTGATAATCAAGTAGTAAAACGAGAACAAGAAAAGCTTTCCTGCCTGGAAAAAATGCACAGGTTTTTGCAGTGGGTACAGAAACACCTGCACGAGGAAACACTAAGTCACACATGCATACAAAAGCAAATATATATTAAGGTGGAATTTCCTCCACGCCTCACCCCCTTACAGGCAATATTTTGTAATAAAAGCTTTTGCTTGAAACAAGTGCCAGAAAATTCGCTACTTTCTTTCAAGGTTTAGGGTAAAGTCAACCTTATATTTCTTTTTCCATCTACATATTTATAAGCTGTTACTAACCTTCACATCCTCTGAGACAAGATGCTTGGTTTTAGTGATTTATGTCTTCTAGCAAGGCTTTTGCTAACTGTGTAAAACAAACAATCATTCTTACTCTATTCTGTCATGTGTAAATACAGTGACCAAGGCACTGCCATTCCAAATCACATAGACCATTTGACCATCTATCAGCAACCAACAGACAATCAAGCAAATTCCTCACTTTCATGAGTTTCCCCTGGTGGGGGGAAAAAAAAAAGAGCCAGTAGGAAGAAACTTTCGTGTCTATCAGTTCAATCTTTACTACAACATGCCTCTGTAGATTTCCTGTAATTAAAATGTTCTTCCCTTTAGGTTCACTTTATTTTCTGGGGCAAAGATCTTTATCACTCTAAACTTAAGTACTAATGTGAACATCAGTACATTACTTCCACTTTAACATGTGTAAGATGATTTCAAAAGCTTTTTGTTTGTTGTAGTTGCTATGCATTACATATTTGATAAAAACACCACAACCAGTTTTTCTGATTCAATAAAGCTATATAAAGACAAAGCGTGAGAAAAATGGCGAGTGTTTTTTGAGTTCTCAAAGCCTGTGGAGCCCAAATTTTCTCTCATGCATACTGCCAACAACAAGGACAAAATTAATTTTCGCAGTACACAAATGGCTTGGCAACTGGAACTATATAAAGCACTGCTTTGGTTAGTGAGGCCATGTTTTTGACACAGATTGCCTGCATTCACAACCATAAATATATTAGAATAACAGAGACTTTTATCCCAAATTGACAAAAATGTCCTTTTCTACCTCAGACATAAACTAACTTCAAGTAATAACTGGTTGTACTAATTTGTGGTGCCTCATAGAGTAAATAGGTGTGATAAAGTAGCAGTGGAAAGTATAAATTAACAATCTTTCTGAGCTCATGTATAAGCATTGAAGTAAACACACTGTAAATGATTTTGCTCCCACTGTCCCAGAGAGTGAAATTCATTTCTGACTTAACCAGTCTGGAAAGCAGTGTCTCTCAATGTCTTTCCAATCAATATTTGAAATGTTGTATACCTCACCACTTACCAGAATGCCCTTCTGGAAGAACAAAGCAGTTTTAATGCAATCTATATTTAACGTAGTTGTTATGAAACATAAATCTTACTAGTAGTCGCATGATAACGTCCACCATCTTCTTCATGGAAATCATCAGCCACTGTCCCGAAAGAGATGTCAGGTGATAGAGACGGAACTTCATCATCTGCATGGTGATGGATAAATCGTTACCACTTCATTAGCTGAGTTGCAATACAGTACCTAGGAGTACTTCAGCTATTCTATACTGCAAGCTTCATTCCTTCATTTATTGCTCCAAGAGAGAAGAAAGACACAGACTAGGTTCCCCTCATAGTTCAACCCTCATAACCTTACTTTATGAACATAGTAAGGGTATCACCAAAACAGATTACTTCAAGGGGAGTATGTATTATATGATAATGAACATTCTGACAATGATCTGTTCACGTGATATAAGATTTAGATGGCACCTGTATACCATGTGGACAGAGATTCTAGAGCAATGAGTCAAGCTATTTGTACTCCCCTCTACTGAGACATATTCTGAGATTTAGTCCAAAAATTTATACCCTGCATGTAAGAAGAGCTGATAACAACTGTAATAGCAATCAGTTGAAATACACAGCATACACCTCAGGGAATGGTTCTGATCTACTTCCTTAGGAAGAAAATGTTAAGATTCACCACTCATGATGCTAACTGTATGGAAAAACAAGCATAATATGTCATTAGTGTACCACAAGTGAAGAGTAACTTCATAATTCTAATGCTTCTGCTCTTTTTTTTTACTTTTAATTTCAGTATATATTGAGGATAGTGATGCAAAATACTGTTATCCTTCACTAGCAAGTTACTGGTGATTTGACAAAAAGCCTGTAGTCACACAGTAAACTTTAAACACAGTCACCCTTAGAGGATGACTTATATTTGTATTCCTTAGGTTTAATTGCAGCTAGTCTTTCAAACTTCGGATAATTTCATCCACACAAGAAACACAAAAGATGAAATAAAATACATAGAAAAGAATATGGTATTTCTATTTGGTAGGGCTCCATGAAATTTGAATTTGGCTTTACCACCTAAAAGAAGTTATTAATAACATTTTAATTGGACATTTCTGTCTCACTATGCATTTTCTATTATGTTGTAGTAAGATGATGTCCTAAAAAAATCTCCTGTATTTATACAAAGAGAAATCACTTCTATTGTAAACTCCTCCTCATTCTTATTATTTAATGTCAGTTCATCCTTTTAGAAACCAGATAATAATGTTATCTTTATCTCTACATATGTTTCATACTGACATGCAATAAAAAAAATCCTTAGAAATTTAGAATGCTTCAGTTTTCTTTCAAAGACACACATTCTCTCTCTCTCTCTTTTTTGTTTTTTTCCTCTTGAATACAAATTAGAGATGGTGCTTTTCAATCCCTCATGATATCCTTTAACTATAAATGTAATCTTTCACTCACTTATGTTAAAGGGGATATAGTGGCACCCTACTGTCCTTACCATAGTCTTTTCCAGGAATTCCTTTTTCACCCCCTCCAGAAGTGTGATCTGGCAGCTGTGAGACTGGAGTAGCACTTCCATAATATGAGGGGCTGGATCTCCTGATGGAGGTATCCATGGGAGTTGTCTCATGAGTTGATCCACTGCCTACATTTTCATCATCTGCACCTGAAGTTGAGGACTCTCCCCCGGTATGACGTGTGCCATCTGCATTATAACGTGAGCCATCTGCATTGTCAATGACTGTGGAAAGAGGGAATTAATATTATGCTCCTTGATTAAGCAGATAATATCATGGAGCTGCATAGCTCTATTTCAGTAGTGCTAAACAGTTTTAATTTTACAAAAAACAAGCAAACAAACAAACAAACAAACCCAAAAAACCCACACCACACTTGTGGATTAATACCAGTTCATCCATTTTTACCATCCTATCTAACCTGTCTAGATAATACATCACTAAAATATGTCTAATGTATATATGCTAATTTACATATTTCTCAAATATGTAGGGCTTACCCTGCATTGCTTATTTTCATCAAATAGTTTGGTTTTAACATAAAATCTTGGCATTTGTAAAGTCAATCACAATTTTGGAATTAAAACAAATAATTTATTATGAGCATTTTCTTCCACTTCCATCTGCTTTTCTAACAAACAGCTCAAATGAGATGTAGAAAGGTTGCTGTCTTAAGCCAAGTCCTATGTGTCAGAGATATTAGCAACTCTGAGATGCTAAAATGTCAAAGACCTATACAAAAAGTGTTTGGTAGCACCCTGAAACAAACCAAATTCCTTAAGATTTAGGGGAAAATAAGTGACTAATTGTTTTAATTTCTGTTGAATGCCTCTTAACTTCTTTTTTTTATGTTTGGCTTGATTTTTTAATATTAGCAACTGTTTATGTAAGAAAAGATAACCAGTTACTAAAAATTGAGCAAGTGCATGTTTTTCTAATCGGTACAGTACCTATTTCATCTTGATTACTGAGGAGAGAAGTATCTAGTTTTTCGACTGGCTCACATGTTACATCCCTTGTTTCTGTGAAAGAAGGAAAACAGAAAGTATTAATTTGGGAAAATGGATAAAAAGGTCACATGTATACCCATATTAATTGTACATAATCACAAAACATCACTTTCAGATGAGGACAATTGAAAACAAATTTCCAAACAAATGTTATTCACTGACATATCTACTTTCCCTTTTTGCTCCTTCCCAGGAGGGGCACTTCAAGACTGTTCTGTCAGCTAATAATGAGATTCTCCATTTCCATAGCCATTCCAGAAAACAGTTGCAGTCATTGTCAGTTAAAAAACAGCCTTATGACCCAGCTTCAATGCAGGCAGCCCCACTGTCATGGTGGCAGTGGCAACCCTAAGTGGAGAGACTGTCCTCTCCACAGAGGGCTCTGCACAGGCAGAGTGTGCCCTGGTCTGGTGAGCACTGCTTCCTCCACTGGGCTGAAGTGCCACATTTGGGGCCAGTGTGTAAGATACCTGATCATGCTGCTGGAAGGGAATAATACTTGGAAGGAGTCATAAAGCTCTGAGGGCAATGGCCATCACTGCAGCAGCAGAATAGTCATTTGTGAGTGCCAGAGGACTGCAGCTCACATGCTATGCCAATGCAACAATTTTTAATTATATGACTACCAAGAACAAAAAAAATGTCATTGCCATCCAAATCATGAAGGATTTTTTCCTACAGCCTTCTGTAAAAGTCGTCTGTGAATGTCACAATCTACAGAAACTCAAGCCACTTGAAGTTAGTCCAGATTTTATCTTAAAATATTGTGTTCAGCATCTGTCATGGTCTACCTACATTTTCCTAAAAATTTAATAAAATATTTCTATCTCTTAAAAAGTTCAAAACCTTAGACGAAAGTGGTCTGCTTCTGACCCACATTGCTATCTTGCTGCCTAATGTCCGAATGGAGATTTGCCTAAGCAAATACTGAATAAACCTACAAACAGGAGAGCAGCAGCCTGGGATGGCCCTTGCTGCTGCAGGTGGCAGCCACTCCTAGTATTCCTTAACACAAGTGACTGCTCTCCCCTATAGAAGCTCATGTGTGTATGAACAGAAGAGCTGAATGCCAGCACTGACAACAGTTACGTCTTTCAGATTTACTGCTGCAGCGATTCACTTCACTAAGCCATTATAATGAACTGTTCTGAAGCTACTCAGTTACTCCCAAGGGCAGAAAAAAAGTTTAGGTCAAAACACGCTAAGAAAAAATGGGTCAAATTCATTGCTGGCCCGATAGTTACACTTCTAGAGTCTGAAAAAATGTATTTCTCCTCAGCTGAAAAAGAGATTATGTTTATTACAGAAGTCTTCATTCCAGTACCTTAAACAGGAGATTACATACGTTGTTTTTAGTTAATCTTTTTCTAAAATACATCATAAAATCACCTACATACCTGTCTCATTGTAACAATATGCGTCATACCGACCAGTTGTATTTGCTGGAAGTTTATAAACGCCAGTATGATTTGCTGCACAAAGATGATAGGGCTTGATTCGTGGGATAACAATATGCCCCTCTACAAAACCATACCTGTGAAGGACAGAGGTAAATAAACCATATTACTTACTATAGCAGATGGTACCTCAAACGTGAAGAAGCTACAAAGAAGCCATTATTTTTTTAAAGTGTATGCATTTATGCATAGATTTTTTGTTCCTTTTTCATTCAGGTGTTCCTTTCTCACATGTAGAGACATCAGTCTCCCACCACTCACCACTGTTTTGTAAGTAATTTCTAGAACTTAATCCATTTTAACTACATAACCATCTTATTAGCTGGAGCAGTTGATTCCAGAGCAAGGCAGTGAAAGTGAGGGAAGCAAGTGCACTTTTTGTTCAGTGGGAGGTTGTATTACCTGACACTGAAGGCTAGATGGTTTTTCCTTTAAGGATTCACATTTCCATTGCTTTGACATAACATAATGCTCAGTGACATTTCACACAGAAATGAAATGTTGGGGGTTCAATTTATGAGCAAATTTAAAGGATGATTGTAACATATATCATTTTCTGCAAAAATTGACAGCTTAGTAAAATATTCAAATACAACAGTCATTCATCCACATATTCTTACTCTATCTTTCAGTTGAACAATGTGGTTATTGTGTACAGAGCTCACATAGTTCAGTGAAAACTGTAGTTACACGAGGTACACGAGGTAATGTTTTGCAATCCTGTAACACCTGATTGATTCCCATGTATTGAACTGGGAGATGTGACAGAATCGTAATAAGAACTGGAGCTTGGTTTGGGTTTTGTTTCACTTCTTGAGAGGTATGATTTGTCACGGAGGAGTAAATGTCATAGCTTTGCAGTTTTTTATCTATAAACATCATTCCAGTTACATGTCTAATGTGCAGGTACATCTAATTCTGAAAGTCTCTTGTAGGTGGAATTATAAATTACTTTACTCACACTCCCAACTGAGCCTACAATGCTGACACCTTATAAAACATTACTGACCTATTTATGTTATGTTCTGTTGATTCATCTTATTCACTCACCATTTGACATGTATTTTTATATGCAGTATATTTTTCCTCTCCTACTCAAGCTTGATAAGAGCTAAGGCTTACTGACAAGGACCTCTAGCACAGGATCAACAAATGAAATTAGAGAGGGAGGGTTGGCCAGGAGGAAGGAATCCTATCTGCATGCCTTACACGTCTAAATCTGTGCTCTGGTAAACTCTGAATTAGAGAAAATTGCAAAATTAACAAAAAACTACAGTTCCCCGCTGGGAAAAAAAAAATTTATCTTCTTTCAAATAACTTTATATTTTAACTTCAGAAAAACCTTTCCATATTTCAGAATACTCATAATTGCTAGCACTAGAAATCTCTACCCCTGGGCATCAGTTAGGATTTGATCTCTACATATCATGTAGTGCTGGGCAATTCAGACTGCTATGTATGTTCATATGCTAATGTCAGAAAAAAAGAACATGCTTACTATGTTATGAATGACTTTTCCCTCAGAGTAAAGAACTGTTTCTAGTCTTTATGTGGTACAATTTTAAATTACATTCCCATTTCTCACAGAAGAATCCTCTAAGAATTCTCCGTCCACTGTTCCCTGACAATTTTGTTCACATCTTTTACCGCCATAACACTTGTGAAAATGAACATCACACGCTGTCATCAAAAGCAGTGCATGACATTTATATACATAAGAAAGTTTTCAAAGCACTGTGCATACTACGCTTATTATGTATTTTTCAAAGCAAGATCACGTGTTCATCTAGTCTGATGTATTTACAGACCACAGGACTGTATCGACTCGACTAGTGTTTAAACAGAGGGCATCCTTAGGGAAAATATTTCATCTTGATGACATTTTTGTGTGACAAAGAATCTTCTACCACCCTTGTAGGTTGTATCAGCCAGTAAATATTATCCTTACAGATATTGTTGTACTAGTATTCACTAGATTTTTTGAATGATAAATTTTCTGTAAATTCTAGTCTCTTGATCTAGTTTTTTTTTGTGGAACTAAAGAGCCTGTATTTTCCAAATTTGTTCTCCTGTACATCATTATTTACAGAGGGCAATGAAGTCACTTGACAATGTGGTTTTGTTTTTTTTTAATAATTACTATGTCTGTCTTCTGAAACTTCTCCATTCACAGATTATAAGGATGCACTAGCACCGTGGACATTTTTTCATTGTGATGCTGAGAGTTCATCCCTCATGGTACCACTTGCCATTTTTTACTGTTCCTGACGAGACAGAGTTTTGTATACCATATATACCATCTTCAGTCTTTGACTTTACATTAGGTCCTTACTTTTCACATACTTATCTGATTACTCAGCGATACAGTATGATCCGAACATTTTCCTGATTAGTTTATTTTACTGTCAATAATTTGATACATTTAGATTTTATCTGTGAGAGGTTATGATTTTTTTTTAAAAGATAATTAGTAAAAACTATATGTATCAAGGACTTATTTATTACTGGACCCAAAACAAACAAATGCACAAAGATGTTTTGTTCATTACATGATATAACTTATTTAACTGCTATGACCATCTTAACAGTTATAGGAAGTCAAATGTAATTACTACACTACAGCATGGATGGATGGACTTGTCATAGTATCTTATTTTTTCAAGAATTTCTTTACCTGCAAGTTTCAAATCCAAGTTCATGAGCTTTCTTCACCTGCTCTAGTGTTGCCAAGGTACTATTGAGAGCTCTGCAGAGTTTGACTGCTTCAGGTCGCGTGAGACTGTAGCGACCATTTTTCTCAACATGAAAAACTCCTCCATATCTGCAGCTTACATTGAATTCTGTTATCAAAGGAAAAGAAAAAAAAAAGGTGTTACAAGTTGTTAGACCTAGTGTTTCACTGAAGACATTTATTTATGAAATAAACAAAATGAAATTATTTATTTTCAAGTATAGTTCTTTCCATGTAAACCAGCAAGAAGTGGCAGCTACCAATTCATTCAGAAAAAGCACTACCACTTTCGATCACTTCCCCTCTTTGCACCGAGACGTAAGCCAAATCTTCAGCCTTTCCAAAAATAGCAATAGAACATGTTTTTGTGAGGTATCTAGCACTTTTAACATACCATTAACAATAATGTGCAGAAGATACACTTTGTGAAAGCCTTGGAAGCCACACTGCTGCAAAACTAACTGAATAATCAGATGTACTTGAAAATAAAATATTTCATTCATAACAGATTATTTTTTTAAAGATGAAATGGTGTATAATATGAGCTTTTATGATCACAAAGCTCCTTAATTTTCTTATTGTGATCCCTTTACAGTGTAGGAATATATATGTCAATCCCTAGTTTTGGAACCAGTTCAAGTAACATGTTCCTATTATGTGCTAGACAAAAGCAGAAAGTGGTTTGATGGTTCATGATCTCCTTGAGATAAAAACTATATGCATGATCTACCTGAGACAAAAACTGAGTAAGTCTGGACTAGAACGACATTATGTTGTTAAATATTTCCCAAAAGATAATCTTTAAACTCTTCATATTCATACTCAGCCTGTTGGGGCAGATAAAGAAGTGTCAAATACACATTATATAAGAGTTCACATGAATGAATTTCTTGCCAGCTGTTCATTCATCTGACAATATTTCCCTCCATTTTGAAAGGCTTCTTTTTGCTGAGTTCATGCTCTCACACAAACATCTTACTGCCAACTCACGTCAGAGTTTCAATATGTAATGCAGTAAGTTTATTTAATGCTAAAATATGTCTTGGATAGATTTTAACCTAATAATACTGTAAAGTTTTGCACATGGAAGTAAATTTCAATAGCAAACTGTATGAGGATAAAATTTTAAAAAAAATAGGTTATAGAGTTACATACAATTAATTTTCTGGCCTTAAGCCTGGCAACCCTGAACAAGCAGTATTTGCAAAGCCTGAGTGAGGGGAGCACCTCATACAAATCATTAGAAAAACTGAATAAAAGGTATAAGCACTAGAGGCTCTGAGGAGATCATCCTCCATTCACCTTTTTGTTGGAAAAATACTGCCTACATAATGCAGCAAGTACAGTAGGAAAATGGCATAATCCAGGGAAAGTCTGTGACTGATAAATGAGAGGAAAAAAAAATTTAGTTGTAATCTTTTTTTAACAGGAGCAGTTAAAAAAGAGTTAATAATAATAATAATATTACAATAAGAATAATAGTACAAATAAGAACAATCATGTCCATGGAGAAAAATTGTGGAAGAATGGGACACTTCAAAGCAATGTGAATTAACTTTGCTTTTGCCCCACCTTTCCCTTTAGAGAAAAAAAGCAAATGCAACTCCAGACTAGAAGGACAACAGCAAAGCACTACTTAGGAGTAGCCTATTACTCCCAGTGAAAAGAGGAGCATGACTCATCTTAATTTTAGTGGAAGTTCTATGTGCAAGAAAGGGAAAAATAGACTAGTCTTCTCCAAATATTAAAAGGGTGTGCCTGTACCATTTATTTGAAAAAAAAGATGACATATAATAACTGTTTTCCTGAAGACCTGAAATGCAATTCATACACGTTTGCATTGACACATACTGTGTGAACAAGCAACTTTCCTAATGTCATTTTTGCTTGACATTCTATTTCCTTCTATAGTATAGATGTGAAAGCAAATGATAATAAATAAGGTGTTCACTCTTTCTTCAACTACTCTTGTTCAGTGGTAAACTGACGCTATGCTGTGCACAGTGTATCTACTACGTGTAAACTGCAAGGAACATTCCTTTACGTAGCTCACAGGAAACAATCAACGAGATAAAACACCAGATTAGACCCAAACTGTATGATGTATGAGAAGACAATCATTATTCATAGCTTGGGTAGAGTCCAATAGTTTTGATGTTTGTTTGTCCAAAGGAGCTCAAAAGCTGTGCATCCAATCTTGAATACTTTTCCACAGGCAACAGAGTTAACCATTATGGTTACTCGGATTGCCTTTCCCCAAGAAGAATGTAAAAAGTATCTCTGCTCCCTCCCCTCCCTTGCCCCCCCGTATTTTGGCTGAAGAAAAACCATTCAGTTTCAACAAAATCAACATACATTGCAGTGCTGTTTAACAGTCTTGCTGATTACAATTCTTAGTGTTTGTGTTATCATATGTTATTAAAAGAATCAAGAACATCTAATTTTTAGTTTTGTAAATTTATGCAGGACTAACATTCTCTCAAAATGCCTTTTTGTTTGACATAGTTGTTTTCTTCCAGGAAAAAATAGTTCTGTAGAAATTTCTCTGATGACAGACGTCATAAGAGGTTTTGAAGGCAAGAATGAGGAACCTGTGTGGAAGAGGACACTAAAAATTACATTTCTCTTTCCGGGGGGACTTAATATCCTGCAACAGGGGTTAGTTTCAGCAAGTTCCCACACATGATTCTGCAACTGTGACATTGCTCCCCACAAGTGCCAGATGCAGATGGGCACAGCACTGGTCCTGGGAATAGCTGATGGACTTGAGACCTTCTGTAGCCACACTCCTGACTGAACACCACCACATGCTGAAAAGTCATCACCACTGTGATGCACAGTGTCACAGATGTAGTCAATAAACCACAGGGTGCAGATCCCAACAGATGTTTCCTTATGACAGCACAAGGAATAGCTGCTCTGCATAGAGGGATGTGCCCCTCCTTGACTACTGCTACAGGATGGAGCTGCTCTTGCAGCTGCCATGCAAGTGACTTCTACTTTAGCTACAAATGTTTCATACTCAAAGCCTGACATTATCTTGGAAGTTGTCCAGTCAGTAGATGTATTAAACATAAATGCCTTAGACAAGAAAAAGGCTTCTCTTTGGTTTTTCCTTCCCTATTCTCTCTTCCCTGTAGAACAAAACAGGCCTAAATTCATTAATAACAAAACATACTCTGTGAAATCCAAGACTTATTATTATATTTGGGGATCAAATCACGAAGTTCTGTTTGACTACTTAAAAGTAACAGGCTCAGAGCTCTTGAAGATAGATTTGCCTGGAACATCAACACCTTTCCTGATAACTTCAGGTTAATTTCTGAAGAACTGTGAAAGCAGACACCACATACACTTGTTTTGGGTGGCATTTGATAGCAGTTAATCCTAGAGTCACTGAGTTATAAAGTGAAGTTCACTTTAGTTTAGAGTGAGTTCATTTAACTGTCATCAAACCTCAGCCCATTCATGGTTTTAAACACCAAGGACTCGGTCATAGTCAGAATTCCACTCAGACAATTCCTTAGACTTCAACAGTTTCAGAACATTAGGCTTATTTACACAAATAGGCTTAATGGAACTACTTGTAGGCTACATGCCTATGCATGTGTACATTTGTCATAGAAATGCTTAGCCTGGATCTACAGTGTGCACTTCTGGGAAGTATCAGGCTTATTGTACATGTGCTGCCCAATTGCACTGCATGCCCATACAGGAGGGCCAAAGCTCTCAGGAAGCCTTGCTCATGCAGCATGAGAGATCACGGGGGGGTCCAGGAAACCCCAGGCAAAAATGTGGCAATCCAATTCTCAAAACTGGGTTTAAGGCCATTCAATTCCTTGGCACTGTGCCCTAAAGTAACGCTGAGACTGCATGTTTGTTTTCACTCTGATGGTATCTTCTACGCCTACTATTAAAAAACGCACCATTGCTGTACTATAGACACCCTGTTCACAAAGCAGCGAATATGGAAGAAGGACTACAACAGTACCTAAAACTCACACGATATTTCACAGCCTAAGCAAATTGCGTAAATTCAACATCTAGTCTTTGAAGACAGTAATTACAACATTTTAAAAATGACAAAATACAAATGAAGAGCATACAACCCAGATCTGCCTGGTAGCACAGTATTTTTACTTTATAGTCTCATATTTTAATGTTCAGACAATGAGGACCCTTAATTGAAGCAATGAAGAAACTTCTAATCATATCAATAGAAAACTTAACAAAAATAAAAGATGGAGTCTAAACCAAAATAATACCTAAATTCTTTTTTCCATGATGAGGTTTATAGACTAATTTTGAGTTAAGGAAGAAACATGATTGCCAAATCCAAATCTAAACACACATTTTATCCTTTCCAGGAAAAAGACAGAATATTCCTCCTAGTGTAAGAAGACCAAATCTATTAATTTTTTACTGATGTTACTTAACTGGCTTTAACAAACTTATGCAAAAGATGGATTTTTACTCTGTTTCAAGAGACAAGGAAATACAAAACCCTTATTGTGTGACAAACACTGATCCCTTTAACCATTTTGAAGCTTCAAAGGAGTGATTCAGAGTGGACTTTCAGCAAAATCCCAAACAACACCCAAACCTTCCCTCCTGCCCCCTCTCAGAGCTGTCTGGCTTTGGGTGCTGACACGATCTTTCCCTGACATCCACGTGATTTGCTACCAGCTCTTTAAAAAGCAAGAAGTGCTAAACATGTCTGAACTGTCATCATCATTTATCTCATCCAGACCACGAGATTGGGTGACACAGTCCAAAGTCATGGAATGCCCCTAAGTCTGTGCTGAGTGGGGCATGGAGAACATTAACTTCCACACAGGCCATTTCTCTCCATCTTTTCTGAGATTTCTAATGCCCTGTCTCAAGCAGCTGCATGCAAACCTTTCTCTATTGACTATTGACATTCACATACATAAACCGTGTTCAATTAATACTTGTACACCAAAATCACTAACTTTAGTTCCCCGGACGATTTGCTAGCTAGAGCCCACTGATGGTATAGAATCATCTTAGGCAAACTAAAGAGCATTGTCCTGTCATGGAAGTGTGAGTTACACCCTGATCATTAATACAAGAGGCTTGTTAGAAACT